GGCAGGGTGGAGGCGGGAGGGGCAGGGCAGTTTTTGGGCACTTGGTCTCTAAAAGGTTCGCCATCACTGACCTAGAATTAAGGAGACATTTCCTGTCAATTAGAACAATTAATCAGTAGAATGGCTTGCCTCTGGAAGTTATCAGTGCTCCATCCATTGGACGTGGAGGAAGGGATTGGACAGCCATTTGTCCGGAATTATATAGGGCCTCCTGCTTGAGCAAGGGGTTGGAATAGAAGTCTTCCAAGGTCTCTTCCAACAGTATTATTCTGTATTTTATACCATAGTTAATTTCATAGATATGGTGATTGCTCATTAATACTCCTTTCCATTCAGAGAATATAACCACTGATACAAATAGACACTATTGATGGAATTTCCTACATTGTTAGTCCCTGAAATGTAAGCTCAGGAAACAAGAACAAAGCATTTAGATTTCAGGAAAGATTTTTTTTTTTTTTTGTAAGATAACATACAGTAGCACAATGTTGCAAGCCTACCACTTCAGTGGAAAGATAATAGCTTTCCATGTGCCCCAGTGTATACCACATGACCACAAAAATTTCTTCGGACATTGTCTTCCTCGGCTAAGAAACAGAGAAGAGCATCACCTCCTAGAATCGGATATGACCCAACAGAGGAAACCTTTACCTATAATTCCAAGGATGGATTGACTTCACAGATATAAACCAGAGATCCACTAATATCAATAAAGCATTATATTTAATCTCCTTGGCTTACCAAAATCAGTAACTGCAGGATTTTCATCCTTCTATTTTTCCCCAAGATGGCTGAGAATGGCCCATTACTTCAGACAGCTGAACTTTATAATTATTAGGGATAGTTACCCTCTCCACATTTTGAACTTCTGGAACAATTGCAAAAGGCAACTGCAGCTAGTCTTCAACTTATGACCACAATTGAGCCCAAAATTTCTGTTGCTAAGTGAGACATTTATTAAGTGAATTTTGCCCCATTTTACGACTTTTCTTGCCACATTTGTTAAGTGAATCACTGCAATTGTTAAATTAGTAACACAGTTATTAAGTAAATCTGGTTTTCCCATTGATTTTGCTTGCCAAAAGATTGCAAAAGGGGATCACAGGACCCCAGAAGACAGCAACCATCATAAATTTGAGTCAGTTGCCAAGCGTCTGAATTTTGATCACATGATCATGGAGATGCTGTAATAATTGTAAGTATGAAAAATGGTCGCATCACTTTTTTCAGTGCTGTTATAACTTCAGTCACTAAATGAACTGTTGTAAGTCAAGGACTTACAGATGTATTTTATTACATCTGATGCAAGAGAGACTGATAGCCCAATTCATATGAAGAACTCCACAAACATGGAACTGCTTTTGACATGGTCAATACTGTATGCAGTAATATCCTTTTGTTTGAGTGCACTTTTGATATTTCTGATGATGAAATGCAGAATTGCCATCTTGGAACAGTATTTCTACTGTATTGTTATCTACCAGTAAGGCAGCTAATTTATACTTTTGCCTCTGGCTGAATTTGCATGTAATCATTCAGTTCTTCCTTATGACCATTACACCACCCTTGCGGTCACATGATAGCAATTTGGGCAAGTGGCAACTGGCTCATATTTACAACCAGTTGCAGCATCTGCAGTCACGATTGCAATTTGCAACTTTTCTGCCAATTTTGGATACAAAACCCTTGCCGATTGGGGAAGCTGGATTCACTTAGTGACAGTGTGATTCACTTAAGAATCATGTGATTCACTTAACAACCATGGTAACTACCACCATAAAAATTGTCATAAAATTGGGTCCAATTCTATTTGCAACCACAACGACTTGCGATGGAAATTCCAGTCCCAATTGTGGTCATAAGAGGAGGAATACCTATACCCTATACCTACAAGACAATATGCACTGCCTTGAGAATAGGTGGGACAGTGATTCCCCAGTATTGTACATGACACTAAGGTACACATTGACTGGGTCTATGGCAATGCAGCTCACTGTTCCCATCATATCTCCTTTTAGTGTAAACTTAATTTATATACATTTCCTGAAAATCCCAATATCAAAATGAACACAAATGAACAATGAAAACAATACAATGAAACTTTGGGAAACATGGCTTTATTGTAACAAAGTAACTAAGGGAGGATACAAGGGAGGTACCCCTCACAGTTTGAGAAATCCTGTTCTACAATGAAGATTTACTTGGATTTACTTTTAGAGTTATAATATGCCCTTTCAAACAGTGTAATTTTGGATGGCTACAAAAACAAATAACAATTTTTTTAAAAAAAGTATATAAATATAAGATACAAAATATAGGCCCAGGAAAATAGTGTACAGTGCAATTGGAGTAGTATAGGGTATGTTGCCAGAGTGCTTCAGGATTTGAATTGTGAATGCTGACACACTTGTACTACAGATATTGTGTTGTTTCTTTGTCCAGCATTTCATTGCTATGCAGGAATATCTATGCTCTCGTGTATGAGTTAGTTTTCACTAATCTGACAGTTGCAGAAACAAAGGCCAGATGAAAACAAGTCAGCCATTTCAAAAGAAACAGACTAATACTTTGTTATATGGGGAATGAAGGAAAAAATGGAGCATGAAAGAGTTTGAGCATTATTTCTACCTAGAATTTGTTCCTGAATCACAGTTGTTGAAATTCCTTGATTATGTCTCCTTTCTTATCAAATGTTTCTTATCTGAAGGGTTGTTTTTTTTTGTTGTTGTTGTTTTGTTCTTGTGAGCTGAAATAGTGGTTCTTTCCTGCCAAAAGAATGAAACTTTGCAATGTATTTCCTCTGCAATTTCTGGAAAATGTCTACATTCCAATAACTGAATTGCTATTTCTCCTGCACCTTGTAGCTGGCTCAGCCCTTTTCCACATGTGTTCCAAACAGCACTTAGTGGGCTACTTTCCCTCCTGGCTCATGTTTTGAAAAAAGACATGATTGGCCTTTAAGCCTAGGTATAAAATAGCACAACTAACATCACACAACCTTTTTCCCTGACTAGTGCTACAACAGCAGTGTTGGCAGGGCATGATAAGGAGTCCATTTCTCAATTTTGTGGCTGCCAGCAGCTGGAAAAAAGACCAGTGAATGGCTATGGAAAACATGCATGCTACAGCAATTTCCAAAATTATGCCACTAGGAGTGGCTTGCCTACAGTAAAGTGACTATTATAATATCCAGTGCCACCAAAGCCAGAACAGAAGAGGCAAAATGCAGCTGTCTCTATCTACCACAACAGTCAATCCAACTTACCATATCTTTGAACAAAATACACAAAATGATCTAAAAATACACAAAATGATCTAAAAATAAATAATCCGGGCAGGTAAATCACGCTTCTGATGCTACAAATGAAAATGATGCAACATTGCCCCCTGGCGAAATGTATTTGTTTAAACACCATATTCTAAATCTCGACTCCATTTCTGTGGTCTAAGCATTGGAAGAGGTACACAATATTAAGCAAACATATTAGCTACAAAACCTCCAGCTGTACAAATGGCTCCTATGTGAAAAGGTTATTTTTTAGAATGTTAATGATTCTTTTAAATCACTGAGGCCATGGCTGAGAGAAAAAACAGAAAATAAATGGCATAACAACAGGGTACTTGAGGGGTTGCCTATTTCTGTGTGTTTCTACCCATTCAGTTAGGCCAGTTGGAGATGAGGGCATTCTTGAGGTCTGCCAATTAAGAAATGTTAATTTTGTACTACCTAGGAAGCGCCCTTCTCAGTGATGGTTCCTGCACCCTGGAATGATATCCACCCGGATATTGGTACTACTCCCAATTCTGATTTTTCATAAATGGTTAAAAACCTACCTGTTCTCCCAGGTCTTGGGTTAGGATAGCGTTTAAGCCTCTCCACATTTTTGGTGGTGGTGATATTGGTCTTTTTACATTTTGAGGTTGGTCTTCTGGTCAGTTATATTATTTCTATTAATGTTTTCTTTCTTATTCTTGTTGTTTTGCTTGGGCAGCCTCAAAATTGAAATATTAATTTATAATAAGTTCAAGCTTATAGGTGTCTTTTAAATGCCAAACTAAATATTGACAATTCTACTTAGCAAGCACCATTTGTTGTGCACAGTATGAAATTATGTACTTCAAATAAACTTTGCATTACTTTGAGCATAAGATTAACCTCGCTGAATCATTTCAAGTGCATATTTAGCCCATCTTCGTTCCACACAGAAGCATATTAGATGAATTCAGACAACTTACATAATTAGTTGAAATATGCCTTCCTTCTATCACTCTCCAGCAGCTGGTGTTTAATATATGAAAATAATTAAGATTAGCTGTTGATAAGTTTCATAGTCCATGAACCTATCCAGTTCATTTTTTTACCTATCTAATCTAGTGGTCATCTGATGCACTGAATTCCATACCTGAACTCTGTATTTCTTGTCCTTTATGCACAATATCACTGACCTCATCGCCACCTTTATGACTTCAGACTGAAAGAACATGGCCATTCCAAGCTTAAGAGATGAGGGTTTCTTAGGAAACACCACACAAAATGGCCTATGTATTACTATCTCAACAATGCAGTAAACACTTTGCAAGTCTCAGGATTATATAAAAGAGTGAAAAACAGGTAGGTAGCTTTCTCCTAATCTAACTGGTATCTTCCAGGTATGTTGAGCTGTAGCTTCCAGACCCACAGGAGAATTGTAGCGTAATATTCATGATAGTCACCTGACTGGGAAATTTCAGTAGAAGAATCAAGTGGAGAGAGCAGGGACTTAATAACAAATAAATTTTGCTGAATAGGCCAAACTTCCCCATCTCAACATTCTCCAAATCCACTGAGTGTAGGCATTATCACTTCAGCAAACACCATCAGCCATTACTCCTTAGAATTAGATGATGCATGCTACTACAGCCGAGTTAAACCAAATGATTTACTTCAGATATTTTATGAAATATCTGGTTCATACATTTGCAAATTGGACAAATTTGAGCACAGATTGTTTATTTGAACATTCCTCCACAACCACCATTTCTGATTGCTTCCAGTTACATTCCATCCAGTCAACCTTGACTTCTGGTGACTACAGGAACAAGTCTCTGTTGTTTTCTTGGCAACATCTTCAAGTGTAGTTTGTCATTGTCTCTTTCTTCAGAAGGCTGAGAGACAGGGACTGACCCAAAGGCATCCAGCTAAAAATCACTAGCCTGGTGCCTTTCACCACTGCTCCAAACTAGCTCTCAGTTCATCAGAGTAGTATCTTCCCAGTTTTGTCTGATGAAGTGGGAATGGGTGATCACACCCAAAATATGGAAATAGCTCTTGCATGGTTCAGCTGATTAATATTAAGGAAACTGGTCGTTCCAATCAGGGTTTCCCAAAGTCGGCAACTTTTAAGAGATGAGGACTTCAATTACCAGAATGCTGGCAGGGGAATTCTGGGAGTTGTAGTCCAAACATGTTAAAGTTGCCAAGTTTGAAAAATACTTTGGAGAGCAGGAGGAGCCTTCCGCCATATATAAGACACAACCGCCCTCCCCTTAAAAGGTCCCTGCTGCACGGGCCGCTCTTAGCTATCCTGGTGATATACTCCAGTCCTTGTCTGGTAAAAAATGCCTTTCAGCGCTCGCTCCGTTTTCGCTCCCCCACCCCCTCACTCGTTTGTTCCTGCCTAGTCGGCGCTTAATGACAATGTGCGCTTGCGCTGCTCCGCCGATGTCGCCAGAGCCTTCCATTACAGGAAGGTAATCCCAAGTCCGGCCGGGCTCATTCTCTTTTTCTGACCATAGAGTTTCTGACTACCACCGCAAGCGGAATGAAGCCGGTAACAATACAGCATCAACCCTAGCGGCAAGGCCAGCCGTAAAGCGAGCTGCAATCCAATGTCGTGCACGCCCGCCTCGGAGGGAAAGTCGCTCGTGAGAAGCCACGCCTCTGACCCCTTTCTCCTTCCTCTCAGTCCTTCCTCGGGGCCAACCATAAAGTAAAGCGACGCGAAGTGTCGCGCCGTTTCCCTGATTCTGGAGCCGCGGCAGCCAGGCCTGACAGGAAACCTAGTCGCGCTTTACGGCCTCTGGATGAGGAGGAGCGGAGAAAGGGAGCGGGAGGTGTCGCGGCTGCTGCTGCTGCTGCTGAAGGGACTTTGGGGTGAGGAGGAGGAGGAAGAAGAGGGAACACGCGGGTGGGGTTGTGTGAATGAAAAGGGAAGCGTTGAGTGTTTTCTTCTTACACTTTCACTCTTTTTCTCTTCGCTTCCCTCCTTCCTTTTGGTCTCCTCAGGACATGGCCGAGGTACCGCCCGGGCCTAGCAGCCTCCTCGCTTCGCCGCCGGGAGCCGCCGCTGCGCTCCTTTCTCCCTTTCCGGGAACTGCTGAAGAGGAGGAGGACGAAGAGGAGGACGAAGAGGAAGGAGGAAGGCGTTCCTGCAGGGAGGAGGAAGCTGAGGATGAAGGCATGCGGGAGGGGAGCCTGCCCCGCCGCCGCGTTTGCCAGCCCCATCGCCACTACCATCAGCTCAACGGCCTCATCGCTGGATCGGACTTGCGGCACTTGCGAAGCTCCCTGAAGGACAAGGTTTTAAGCAACAGCAACGAGAAGCAGTGTCCGCCCAATAGCAAGAAAAATGGCAACGCCACCATCACCACTGGTCCTGGCAAAAGAATGGGACACGGGCAGGAGCCCCAGCATCCCTGTCAGGGAGGGGAACAGGAGACAAGTCCACCTTCGCTCAGCAACCACCACCAGGTCCCTTGCCCCCAGGCAAGGACTGCACAGTCCCAACAGCAGCAACATCACCACCACCACCACCACCATGATGCTTCTGCTCCCTCGGCTGGGGACAGGAATGGGCTGGTTGGGGGAGGAGAGTTGGAGGAAGGCGAGGACCAGGAGTTGGAAAGGGAAGAGGAGTCCTTGCTACTTCTCTCCAGATCCTTGGCCTCTACCTGCAGTTTGCAAAAATGTTCCATGGGTCCCCATACAAACACTTCCTGGCCCCCCCAGCAGGTGAAGGAGGAGAAAGAGGACCTCACAATACGATATGTCCGATACGAGTCCGAGCTACAGATGCCAGACATCATGAGACTGATCACCAAAGATCTGTCTGAACCCTACTCCATTTACACTTATAGGTATTTTATCCACAACTGGCCTCAGCTTTGCTTTTTGGTAAGTTGGGGTGGAGACACAATTAAAAATGTGTTCCAAGGTTGAAGGGTTAAAGGAAAAATGTTGGTGGGTGATACAGAGAAAGTTATAGAGTAAACAAAGTTCTCACATCTGTCATTCACCGGTAGGCAAATTGTAAAATAAATCATATGCAAAGCAGGTGATTGTGTAAGTATGGTTTGAATTATGCAGAATTATTCATAAACTTTGCCCACATATACAGTGTAAACTGAAGACCAATCTCTCTATAACTTTGTTCCCAGGACAAAGGAAATTGAATTGTGCTTGGTGAATTTGGAATTCTGTATGTTTATTTTTAAATGGTTTGGGGATGCTGAGTTATATTGTCATTAGTTTTTTGAAGTTTGCTCTATCAATGTTTGCCCAGTTAAAATCAAAAGTATAATGTCTTAGAAAATATTTGAGTTGATACTTGTACAAAATTTTCTATTTATGGAGCAAATGTTTGAAAAGTAAATTAGGATTAATACAATCTTATAATGCTTCTGAAAAACTCATTTTGGGAATTTTAAATATGAGTATCCCTTGGTACTTCACAGGATTCAATTTTAACTTGGTACCATTTATGTAATTTTAATGTTTTTGTATAAAATTTAAATTGCAACTTATTTTCAGAGATGAAAACCTACATGTTATGTGCAACATGCCTCTTACCAAATTGTATGTCTTAAATAGACATGATTCTATATACAGAAAGCAGTTCATTCTCCCCTAAAAAGGTGAGCATAGATCTTGAACCATAATTGTAAGGAGAGGATAATTTGAAAGGAAAAAAAGGGAGGATTTCTTAAATGATTCTACCATACTGCAAGTAATTATGTTAGTGGTTCTTATTATTTATTAGCAGTCTAAACTGCTATCTACTTAGTCAAATATCAGGTTAGCCAGCCTTCCTTTTAAAACTTCGCATGTATCATACAAGCAACTGAGAAAAAAAGTAGAGTATGCTTACTTGAAACTCAGTTCTCTTAAGATATCTTTAAAATATTTTACAAATTGAAAGAAAAGTTTCTAATGGTTTGACGTGTTTATTTGTGATAATGTCTACAGGCCCTTAATACAGTCATTTTTAAAATTTTCAGTGAGAAAATCTAGTAAGTTCATTTGATCCTTTCAAGGAAATGACAAAATACATGGACTTTGTTTTACTTTATCAGATGCCTACAAGCTACTAACAAGTTTTAGCTTTCTGAGGATATTTGAGGTGTTGAAGCAAAGGCAAAAAGAACAATAAACATAAAACTTGTCTGAGTGGGATACAGATAGGGTGGCATGAAAAAATGAAGATGTATATATTAACACATCAGTGTAATGTAAATGCTTATAAGGGGCATTTCCTTGGGGAAATTTGCCCTAGCTCGGGTTCCCAATCGGGTGCGAAAACTTGGGTTTTCAAAATTATAGTGTATATGCATAATTTGTTGCCATTATTTCAAACTTTTGTAAAAGGTACGAGAATATATCAAAAGCGTTTTAGGGGTCCAGGGTATAGAAAAGGTTGGGAGTCACTGCCCTAGCTAGATGAGCTATGTCCAGATTTACAGCTTTCATTTGAAATCTATTTTCCCTTTTGCAAAATCATAAAAATAGGTACCATAGTAACTATTACATAAGAATAAGAAAGGCCCATTCCTATATTCCTATTTGTTTAACTAATGAATAGACAGTTTAAGCAATGACTGGCTTAGACCCTACAGAAAAGTTTACATTTTTTCCCCTATGCTCTCATGAAAAACATTTCAGAAATCCAAACTTTGTTATACAATATTTCAGTAATAGCATAATATCTCTAAAGCAAACTAGGAACAAAAATAGTTGAAAATGTAACGGTCTATTTTTATTTTTAAATATAGTCCTGACTTTTTAAAAACAAAAAGTGACATGACAAAAAAAGTTTATAAATGGTTATATACAGCATATAGCTATGACTACATAGCAAAAACTTAGAAAATAACTGAGAAACATTATGCCAGTCCTGTTCTTATTAGTTTAATATGAGTATAGAGGATATAATCTTAATGTTATCTTGATGTATTGAGTTTTTAATGAATATTTTAGTATTGCAGGGTGTTAACGGTTAACGCAGTAGCATTGCAGTTAATTAAGAACTGGAAGGGTTACTTCTGTATGCTCTGTTAAGCAAGGCTGCAACTTGTCCTTCTAGGTTTTCTTTTAGATAGGGACTCTCATCAAACCAGGATGCAATATGGAGGAATATGGTGTGTTACTGCTCAGAATTATTATTTTCCATATGTCATGAATATGTTTTGTAAAAATACCAATATCCCTATGTGATATGAGGAGAGCTTATAGATTGCCTGTAAACTAGGCCAAGGATCATTGCATAATTGAAAGAAGCTAGGAGAACATTGATTTATTAAGTTTTCCCTCCAAGATTACTTTCAAGGCAACTAGGAATTATTTATCTTTGTATTGCTCAGGAACACTATGTTATCTGGATTAAACATTGATTAATATATTGGTAATCATATTGGTGGTATTTTAGGATTTGAATAGCTAATTTTGATTTTAACTTTTAAGGATTTTAACATAGTCAGAAAGCTCAAGAACATCCACATATTATCTGGATTAAACCTTATCCAAACCTTGATTAGTGTTGATATTATATTGGCAATAATATGTGTATTATATTGGTAATAATATTGGTATTATTTTGGTATTTGAATAGCTAGCTTTGATTTTAACTTTTAAGGATTGTAGAATAGTTGGAAACTTACTCTCCCAGATATACTCATTGGAATAGAAGAAGTAAAATTTCTAAAGGGTACCCCCTAAAACTGATTGGAACAGAATTCCTCAATACTTTAATTCCAAATGCATACCTTTTGGTATACAAAAGCAAATCTGACAAACCTGAAATCAGTCCACTCTCAGCTTACATTGATTCAGTCTGATTTTCACATGGCATATGTGATTTCCCCCTCTTTCATTGATTCATCTGCTGTGTTTTTCTATGGTTGGGATAATGGAATAAATTATGGTTAATGTGCCTTCAAAAAAATAAAAAGAAAAAAGCTAAGGACTTGAGGGTGCATTGAGAAACATAAGCCAAGAGGAGGAAGGTGAAGTCTGTAGCATATACTTGACCTTTATTGGGTTTGGTTAGTGGAGTATAAATTGGAATGTCTAGAAAATATTTAGGAAGCAATTATAAATGCTTTAACCAAAATGCTTTTTTTAGAATTGTCTTCTCAAAAGGACAGAAAAAAATCCTCTGATTTCCCAGGATCAGATACTGATCACTCACAGGAATAGGAATAGATGATCATAACCCTGGTTGGAATACTCAGGCATTTATCTTTCTAGTTATTATTGCTGCTTCACTGCTCTTTCTGTCTATCAGAAATTATTGCAGTATCAGTCTAAGTTTGATCTAGTCTGAATCTAATAGTGTTCATTTCTTTAATTTGTCAAATTTTCTGCAGATATAATTATTTTACCTGCATAACTTTGACCTAACTTCATTTTTAGGTGAAAATACTGATTCTGACACTTGTGATTGCCTGGGTGTTTTAGAATCTTAAGATTCTAAAGTTTTTATTCTTCATTGCATGAAACTTGGTCAGTAATTGTGACTTATGGTATGAGCAAGATGCTCCTTTGCAGAAACAATCAGTTATGTGAGCATTATAAATATTGTATAAATAAACATCTGCAAGCATGAGGGTACATGCATACCTTGAATGCTAGCATAATCCTATTAAAAATCATACAGGTTGAACAGTTGTGTTAACTATGTATATGTTTCTTGATCTTATTACATGCACCTAATGCAAAAAGTAGATCAGAAAAAAAATGGGAAAGTTAGCTTTCAGCTGAAATTTCACCTACAGCTATAACCAGATTCAAGGTTTTGTCAGGATTTATGATATTTTCTTTTTCAATTTTTCCTTTTTCCAATCTCAACATTCTAAGTTTTGTAGGAGGATTAAAATTGATGCTAGTACATTTTGTCAGATTTGCCCTCTAAAGAAGCATATTTTGAAACTAGCATCTGTAAAATATAAAGTATATATTGAGCAATATCTGTGTATAAAAGAACCATACAATTAATTTGTCAGAAATAACTTTCTGAAACATAAAAATTAAAAATGTTCTCATTAAAAATTAAATTTTAAAATTGATCTACATTTCATAATCTTTGACTATTGAAATTACAAAGGCTTTTTCTTTTTTCATGTTTCAATCAGTTATTTCAGCTCTTTATGGCAGCTTTTATTAGAATTGCTGATTGATCAATATTTCAGTTATGTGCTTTCTAGTTGAATTTAATAATTCTATTCCTCATAAAAATAAAAGATCCATTCTCAAAGAATAGAAAAGTATCATTGAAGAATAATTCAAACTCCACTGAGATATTGGATAAAATACTGTAAGATCCAGGCCAAACAGGCTAAAGCTAATGTTTGGAGTACTAAATATTATAAACAGAAGATAGTTTGCATGGTTTCCTAGTTTTTGCGTGCTTCTTACGCAAGCCCCTCAGAAGATTTGTGAAGCTTTCTTAAATAGCATATACTAAATAGAGCAACAAAGAAAAGAAAGGCACCCTGAGTGCTATCATTCCATACCTAAAATATGCATCTACTCATTCTGGGGCAGTTTCTTACTCACTATTAGCCCTTTGTGATAGCAAATTAATATACTGTGCATGCGTCTGGGCAGATATTTGTGCTCATGCAACTTAACATCCAAGCTAAAGAGTATAATATTACTTTTCCAAGAAACTAATTTAAGCTTCTGTTAATAAATAAAAGTTTTGGGGAATTTCCAAGATGGGATCTTTTTAAAAATGTGTCTATAAAATTGTGATTTTATGGCACTGTGTGTTAGCCTTAACCTACAAGATGTGTTTTGTTTGGTTTTTGTTTTGTTTTTAAGGCAATGGTAGGTGATGAGTGCGTAGGTGCAATCGTCTGCAAGTTGGACATGCACAAAAAGATGTTTCGTAGAGGTTATATAGCCATGTTAGCGGTGGATTCCAAATACAGAAGAAAAGGCATAGGTAAGAATAGCAGTTGCATCTTTTTGAAGCCTTCTGAAAGTTATATACTTTCAGTTAGCTATTGCTTTGAGATAAATATTTTTGCATACAATTGCCTTTCTTTGTGGCAATTACTTTAATCGATAATTTTTAAAATGAAGCAGCCTGCTATTGTCATACACTTATGTGCAGCTCATGAATCCTTATTCTGTGGATATCCACTTTGAACTCATCACCAACCCTGTTCTGCTGCAATGATGTTGACAAGACAAACATGCCTCATATTTGTGAAATATATTCTGTTTAGGTTGGCTGCTTTCTCTTGTGAGCCACCACTGTATATAAGACATTCACAGGTTAAAAGGAGACTGGGGACAGAAATTTAACCCATTAAAGGAAAGGAATATGCATGATTTTATTAGCTTATTCTGTACCCCATTGGTTCCCTTACTTTACACTGTAAGTTGTGGCAGGCTAAGTGAAACAGCCTCTGGAAACTGCTATGCAAATTTTTGAAAGTCAAAAATGCTAAAGAATAATCCTAAATAAGATCTTTGAATGTTGTGCCACGATATTTCATTTATACTTAATGTAAAGACGTGGGTGTTTGGGTTGCCTTCCCTCTCCCTTATGAGATAATTTTTAAAAAAAAATGTGTAGACTATCATATTACTAATTGTTACTTCTTAAATTATGCATGTGTTAGAAGATCAGAACACAGACTAGTTCATGCTGTAACAATTTGTACTTGAAGTTTAATTTTTTTTTAATTTGTATTCCAGGTACAAACTTGGTTAAGAAAGCTATTTACGCCATGGTAGAAGGAGATTGTGATGAGGTAATTATTTTGTTTCTTTGAAGGAACTGTGTTTTTCTCCCTTGCTTTACTTGAAGGCTGTTCTTCCAAATGCAGTTTCTTATGTAAGCAAGTCTTCAGTTTAAGTAAAATATATTCAGAAAAACATACTATATGTTTTCTGAAACTCCAAAAAATGAATTTGACTCCTTTGGGCTACGCAGAAAAATACATGAGCAAAAAGCCTAAACAGATCTAGATAATAATATAAGTGACCTAAAGTAATGATTTGAGCTTGCATAGTATACTAAAAGTTTATGACATTTTGGGAATACAGTACATGAAAATGGTAGCGTGTAAACCCAGAAATCCATACTGGCTCAGTCGTCACCCAAGTCAACAAGGACTATGCTAGGTGTTGGATTTCCTAGACATCTGGTGAAAAATAAGTTACAGAACTCAGGACTGTTGATTGAGCAACTAGGGCTAGTAGCTGCAGAACTACTAGAAGGAAAGGTGTTTACCCATCACAAATATACAGTGATTGAAAACAAAGAGATAATGATCTGTTCTTACAGTTTAAGTCCAAAAAGAGTATTTTTGAAATGAATGCACCAGTTCTGGAAAGAACAACATCCAGAAACACAAATAACAGAACAGAGGCTAGCAGATCAGCATCAGTTTGTAATACGAAATAAAGTGTTCACAGAAGCAGAATTGGAAGAATTGCAAAAGTCTACCCAGGACAAAGAAATCAAAGCCTTGCCAGAAGTAACTCAGATTATAGAGGCAAACCAAGAGGAGTTGGCAGTTAGAGGAAGCTAGCACAGCTATAGAATTGTTTTCATTTGGAAAGCAGGCACCCTCTATTCTGCCTCAAAAAGAACAAAGCCCTCTAAAGAACTAGAAGAATTAAAACAGAATAAATGAGCATCTAGAACAGCACAAAAACAACAGAATACGGTTGCCTGCATTGAAGCTTGTTGCAAAGAAACAGCTAGCATAAGCATTAAAAGATGCCAATGCTGTAATATCAAATATAACCACCAGCTCACTGCATGAAACAAACCAACTAATGCACAACACATCTACAGTTATAACTGAATACCAGGGATGCAAAATCTACAAAGAAGTAAAAAAGCCAAAACAGTGCACCACCAAAATGGAAGATCAGACTGGAAAATAAGATTAGCAAACTGTGATCAAATGCAAATAAGCTAGAACAGATGAAAGAAAAGAAACTGAAGAACAAGAAGACTAAGGTATACCTAATCAAGAAATACCACTTAGAAACAAGGAAGCTCAAATAACACTGGAAATAATAAAGCAACAAATAACAGCCATAGCCAATAAAATTGCAAATTATAGGCAGAACCCCCAATTTCAATCCAATCAGAAACATTTCTGTCAGTCGATCAATGGAGATACTGCAGTGAATCAGCACCTTATAAGGAAGAAACTGCAGTTTTGGATGAATATATGAATAATTCAAAGAACACAGCTTGGTTAAAGAAGGTGGATAAGAATAAAAAAAGATGACATGAAAGAACTTGTAATAACAGCAAAAATGGTTGAGAAAAAGGCAGGAAGATCAAGAATTATCAGCACCAGGTAAAGATGAATTGCATGGATTTTGGTTGAAACGTCTGATTAGTTTATACTCATTTGTTTCCAAGCAGTTTAACAACATACTGCAAGAAAGTGAAATTGGAGAGTTACTAACATCTGGAAAAAGCTACCTGAAAGATCCACTGGTACCAGTAAGCTGTGAGCGTGCAGGGATGGGTCGGGACCTGTGCCTGGGGTGAAGCAATGTGGCAGCGAGAGCGTGGTGGCAGACCAGATATGGTACCGGTGCAGTGGTGGTGGAAAGGGCACCAAGCCTGGCACGAGGCGAGTCGGCCCACATCCAGAGTGCCTCCCCACTACCTGCCTGCCAGGGCCGGAGGAACCACGCCACCCACGCCTCCATCTCCGGGCTGCTGAGCGCCAGCCTGCACGCCTACTCGGTGCTGCAGGTGCTGGACTAAGGGTAGGCGTTGCAGCTTTCATGCCAGCTAGGTGCTTTTGGCCTCTAGTGGCTGCTCCCTCCACATCATCTTCTGCCCGGCTGGCTACTACCGCTACTGCCATGAGATGAGACGAGGCAGGTGGCGGCGAGGTGGAGTTGCTTCCCTCCGCCTGCCAGACACTTTCATCACTACTGTTTGTCATTGCACTGATTCTTCTGTCAAAGATACTGAATATCTCAAGCCATGGCTATCAAAAATTTAAAACGTCTGCCAGTCTGAAACTGTATGGTGTCAGCCCTTTAAGGTAGTCCAGACAAGAAGCACAAACCATGTGTACTAACACTACCTTTATTATAAGTCTGAAAGTATTTTTCCCCTCCTTTAATTTTACTTTCCAGAAAACGAAGAGAGGTATCTTTTAAAATGCTTTTCATGCCCTTTGGTTTCTTTGAGCTAAGATACCTTTTGCATGACAGTTACCTAGTCTGTAGTTTTTCCAAGGTAATTTCCACATACCGTTACAAACTGCATAAAGCATCTTCTCAATGTTGAAATGTACCATTCTTCATAGGCCTACTATTTTTCTCTTAAGATTTTTGTAAAAGTTATAAAAAGATCCAGTTTGGTCACCACGATGTAAAAAAGATGTTGAGACTCTAGAAAGAGTACAGAGAAGAGCAACAAAGATGATCAGGGGACTGGAGGCCAAAACATATAAGGAATGGCTGCTGGAACTGGGAACATCTAGTTTAATGAAGAAAAGGACGAGGGGGGACATGATAGCTGTGTTCCAATATCTCAGGAGCTGCCACAAAGAAGAGAGAATCAAGCTATTTTCCAGGACGCCTGAAGGCAGGACAAGAAGCAATGGATGGAAACTAATCAAGGAGAGAAGCAACCTAGAACTAAGGAGAAACTTCCTGACAGTTAGAACAATTAACCATTGGAACAACCTGCCTCCAGAAACGGTGAATGCTCCAACACTGGAGGTTTTTCAGAAGAGACTGGACAGCCATTTGCCTGAAATGGTATAGGATTTCCTGCCTGAGCAGGGTTGGACTAGATGACCTCCAAGATCCCTTCCAACTTTATTACTACTACTACTACTATTATTATTATTATTATTATTATTATTATTATTATTATTATTATTAAAAAATGGGTTAGAATGTGTGACTGACATGACAACTCTGACTCTTATTATTTATTATGCAACTTTATCAACTGTATATAATAGAAAAATAAAAACATAGTTAGAATTTCATTCAACAAAATTAGTTCACAGTTCAATTAACCCAACAAAAATCAGTGATTTTAATTTAAACAAATCGAATAAACCACCATGTGGATTTAACAGAACACTTCAAGAGCCTGCAGAACCCACATATATCCATAACTATTTATTTATTTTGATTAAAATAAATAACCTAAAAGCTACCAGTCTTAATAAGAGTCAAATGAATTACTTCATTCCCACACTAGTCAAATAAAAAAAGCCTTTGATTCTTAAAAATGCTATCATAGTGGTCAAGGAAAGGAAACTGCTGATCCCAAGACACCCTAACCCTGGACTTGAACAGAAAGAAGACTTTATCCAGAGGAACTTCGGGATCAGGAGGTGGAGAGAAGAATCATGAATGTCTCCGAGAAGACAATTGCAGTAATCTAAGCATGAAACAATCAAAATATTCACAATAAAGTCATAATCTCCTCAATCAAGAGCCTGTTCCCATCATTTCTGCATTAGATGTAATTTTTCAATCCTGTCTGTAAGCTCTGTAAAAGTGTCAGATCATTTCCAACCATAGTTTATTACTTCTGGTATCAGACCAAATATTGTACATTCATAGAATTATAGTGTTAGAAGAGAATTAAGTCATAAAGTTATATATCCTACTCATTGGAGGAATCCAAACTCCCTCATAGATGGCTATTTAGCTTTCACCTGAAAGTATTAAAGAAGAAAAGCCCACCATTTCTCTGGGCACATAGTTCCACAACTGAACTTCTCTTATGGTTGGCAGTTTTTTTTCTAACATTTAATCAGAATCTGTCTTCTGTGACTTGAATGCATTATTTCATCTCTTGAATGTCGGACTCCTGTTCTGATCTTCTGAAATACTTTTCAGGTATTTAAAGAGTGCCATATTTCCCTTCAGTCCTGTCTTCTCAAGTTTAAATACATTCATCTCTTTTAATCTCTCTTTATACACCTTAGTTTTCTAAGTCTTCTGATCATCAACATTGTTCTTCCCAGAATCTGTTTCTGAACTATATCAATTCTTAAAAGTCTGATTCCAAAATTTTACATAGTATTCAAGATAAAGTCTTACAAATGCGTAAAAGAGGAAGGATTACTTTCCATAACTGGGAAAAATTGGGGTGTAAGAAAAATTGCTTTTAAATAGTACATACTCAAAACACATTTCTGGTAATTTGGTTCCTATATGTAATAAAATGGGGTTTAGTTGCAGCTATGGGACAAAACGCAGTGATTCCACACAGAAATAGCTGTGCGGGTGGGTGAAGCAGGAAAAAGGCATGGCTAGCAGTGATAGCTGAGCAGAGGGAGGAAAGGCCCTGCAGAGGCATGTTAATGGAATATTCCAGTTTTTGATGATCAATAGCAACTGAGGGAAGAAAGGAATAAAAAGAGCTGGAAGGCTGCTCTAAGAGCTACTGAGGGATGACATGCACTAGTGCTGCTCTAGGTGCCTTTTAAAATCACTCCAGGATTTCTCCATATATATATATATTTTTAATCAAAATCCAAAAAAATCAAACATATTCTAGGATGAGTTTCTGCTGAATATGGCTGATTTATTATGGCTTAGCAAGTGCATCTGGATAGCAGTTGTTTGTCCTGGGCAAAGTAAAACATATTTTCCATTTCATGCTCACTCCTGGAAATCTCCTGCATTTGCCTTTGTTGTTATTGTTGGTAAACATATTGCTGAATCATACTCCAATAGATAGGTTCGAGTTCTATTTTTGCCCTCTAGGGCAGTGGCCCCCAACCTTTTGGGCACCAGGAACCAGTTCTGTGGAGAGAGGTTTTTCTGCGGACCAGAGTGGGCATGATTTCATGTGCTGCCTGTGTCCCGTGAATGGAGTTTCGCATGTATGCATGGCCCAGTTTCTGGCATGCCCGGCCTGGTGCTGATCCACAGATTGGGGGTTGGGGACCCCTGTTCCAGGGTATTATTTATGCCACCCAAAGTGGTGTTATCTAAAAATATGGTGAGTAATCTCTCCAGTTCATTACTAAAAGCCTTAAAGGATGCAGGATCCAGGGCTGAACCTTGTGCTATCTTCTTTCTCACTGCCTTACTCCAATTTGCTAAGAACTCGCTCACTTGACTATTTATCATGTCATCTAGCCAACATATAATTAGCTTGGTAACATTGCAAATTATTTCATTAAATACCTTGCTAAAATGAAGATACATTGTCCTCAGCATTATCCTCCAATATTATCTGCAAGAAGAATGGACACCAGGGAAACATTTCTTGTGAGCACCATCACTAAAGTTGCTTTACTTTTACTCATTGCATTGTGAGTCAAAATCATCAGTGGTAACACATCCTAAGTGGCATTAATGTACAGTCTGGATGCTGCCATAGGATATTGTCTGATTTCATACTTCTAAGAATGCAGGAACTTTCTTTGTTCTAGAAACCTGACTCTGTAAGTTTGTATGTGCTAAAATTGTTCTTTTAATTATTTTATCTTTACCCCCAATTTATTTATAAAGAATTCAGGACTGCATGCAAACCGCTTGTTCCCTTCTCTCCATTTTTATCCACACGACATTATTCACATTATCAAATCAATTTTATTGCAGTCATTAACTAGCATAGCTGTGGAAAAATTAAGCTGAGAGTATATAGTAAGCTAACTGTAGATCACTTATAATTTATTTTCTCATTTGCACCCTGATTTTCAAAATGCTAATTCTTCTAAAATAGCATTTAAGTATCATTAGTACTTGATTTGTTAATACTTTAATAAATAACAAATATATGACATCAGGACCCCCCCCTAAGGATTATTCATAGTAAAGCACTATGGAAGAGAGCAGTCTCTGGGATCGATCCTAGGAAAGTTTAAGAATCTAATGGAATATCTTTTTAATGCCAATGAATTTCTAAGTATAAATAATTGAAAGCTGAGCTTATAACATTTGATCAACAAGCATGCTTTCACCTTAATATGCAACTCAATTTGGGCCAGGAACTCAAGCATTGGACTAGGATTTTGGTTGATCTGGCAACCGTTTGGTCTGGTGCCTGGGAGGGAAGTCTATTTCTGTTTATGTTTTTATGGTTTGTTGCGAACTGCCTAAAATCTATATGAGCTAGTTAGCCATATAAGTCCTGCAAATACATTAAAAAGCAGACAAAAAAAACCTCCTGTTGAAAAATATGTCTTATTTTGCAGGTTGTCCTGGAGACTGAGATTACGAACAAGTCTGCATTGAAACTTTATGAAAACCTTGGCTTTGTGCGAGACAAGAGGTTGTTCAGATACTATTTAAATGGAGTTGATGCATTGCGTCTTAAACTTTGGCTGCGTTAATTGGAGGACTTTTCTTCTCAACAAACATGGCAGCAGCATCTTTTGCATTCAATGCAATTTGTGTGGAATTGCTTTGCAGTTGGACGTAATAACTTCCATACAGCTCTTCTTTGTGAGTGTCTCATCGAGCATTGCACCTAAATTGTTGCACTGTGTGGCATGGCGCATCTTGTTCTGAATTTACAACAGGTTGTTTCAGACTTCAAATCCTCTTGGTAACCAGGAAGATGTGCCAATAGGTAGCCAAGAGCTCCTCTTTTCATTTGCAAGTCTACTGACTTCTGTTATATAAATGGTGAACATTTTATCAAGAACCTGTGTATACAGAACACAATCTTTTTTCGGTTTAAGAGAGAAAGAAAAGCCAATGTAATTGTAAAATTCTATAAGTATACTAACATTTCATACAAATCTCACCATAGTTGTTTTTTTCCTGGGGAAAATAAAAATTACTTCAACTTTAGGTTTTATTTTTCAATATTGAACTTTCCATTCTTAAATATTGGTACCTCAGTGATTAGTGGATGAAAAAAATGTATTGTAGGGTGGGGTGTGTGTTACATCGAGTAACGGTAACAAATTGCGTCTGCCAGTGCCTGTAGAAATACGTATATTTGTCTCCACTGCTAATTTGAGTGCATGCTTTCTTTTCTTGATTTTTTTTTGTCTTTGCAAGAATGGCTTTTATTTAAACTCTGGGTTTGATAATAAATTATTTCATTTATCATTTGGACAGAACTCCCATGTGAGGGCTTAAGAAGCCCTTGTCTTACAGTAAAAAGTCTAAGCTATTTTTTAGAAGAACAATTTTGAGTCGCTGCTAAAAGGGAGTCTGATGCACTTTTTCCTTTAAAGAGAGTGAGGGATCTTTTTAAAAAGCAAACAAACAACAAATTAATGTAATCTGAATTAACTTTTCTTTAATTAGAATTACAACCAGAATAGCTAAAAGAACCATTATTTTTAAATAATTGAATGAATTTAAATTCTGCTTGGACTCATGCTTAATTTTCATGTTTTAAAAATGCTTCTGTCTTCAGTTCTTGCTCTTGAAAATGAATTTCAAACTGCAATACCATGTTTATTCTTTAGCTGCTTTCATTTTATTTTTTTATTTTAGAAAAGCCAGATCTCTTGCAGTTTTAATCTTTTTCTGAATCATTTGACAGAGAAGTGTCCAAAGGTTGGTTTTGAGTTCTTCCCTCTTTTTAAAATCATCTACATGGGCTTGTATTCTTTTTCACTAATTACACTGTGTACTTCTGTCTGTCAGTGCAATATGTAAAGCAAATCACTTCTTTTTGGCAGTTCAGCAATGACAGCATTAGTATATAATATATAAAAGCAAAACATAAGATTGATCCCAAGTAACTCATGGGGAAAAAAATCTTTCTTCTATTGACAGGAAACCTTTCAGAATTCAAGTTTGCCTTACTATGTAATATGTTAAGTTCAATCATTTTATAAAGCGGTTTAAGTTACTGTACATTTGAGAGGACTTTATCGCTAGTCCTCTGGAGAAGAATACCCATTCTGGATAGTTTAGCAAATTTAAAGGAAGGCCATCTTTATTTTGCACAGTCTGAGCATTTCCCCCACTATGTATAAGTTGTGACTTGTATTTGGGAAAAAATAAAGGATTTTAATTTAAAACTGGCACTTATCTCCTGATATGTTTTGTATAGCGGGCTTCCCTTTTTCTTTCATTCATGGTTGAATTTCTTAGCAGCTTTCTGCCCTGTATGCAGCACCAGGCTTGAGCAGTAGATAACTGAATGCTGAGCACCATCAAATATTTTAAGCTCTAGTGTAGCCTTCCTAGTTGGCTGTGTTTACTTCACCTGGAAGGTATCAGACTGAAGAAAGCTCTTCTAAACCACCAGGTAAGCCCAGTTTGCAGTGAATTGAGATATTTAGAGAATGGGGCAATACTGTTAAATTGTGACACAGTCCTGTGACAACATCAGACTGGAAATTTCTTTTTTAATTGCTTACACTTTTTAAAAAAAAAATAAGTTTCCTACAAGTGAACCAGGAAAATTAGAGAATGCCCCCAACTGTTAATTGTTTTCAGGAGAATTCTTGTGTTCATTCCTTTTAGGCTTCTTTAATTCCAGTTAACAAAGTTTTCATGTTCTGGATTAATGTGTTGGTGGTACTTGCAGGTGTTATATTAGGAGGGTTTTCCCTAAGATTTAAATCAATAATGAAGATCCTTATTGTTTAATCCATAAGGCTTCACTGCTTAAAAACACCTCTGTTAAATAGAAATATGAAATAGAAAATTAGATTTCAAACCTCTAAGAAAAGTTGTATACCACATTATTTTTTGACTGTCAGTATAAACTCATTGAATTACTTTTACTTTTAAAAATAAAACAATCAGAAGGTAGGTTTAAGACTAATTCTCTGGATGATCTGAAATAAACATTTCTGTCTATCCCTCACTCTTTTCCACCCCCCAAAAAAAATTCTTGTAAATGTTGCTAAAATGAAAGTGGCTGAAAAGATGCATACAAAGTCTGTAATCTGATATTCAGAAGTCAGCTGCTGATGGGAGCAAAAATGTGTGTGGTGAAGGACTTGGAAGCTTAAGAAATATGTACAGAGATATCTTTCTTCACTTTCCAATTTATGTTCTACATTTCAATCAGTATTTGAAATTCAATTGTTAAGCAAAATGTATATAACGTCCTATGATTGTAAGATAACATTTAAATAGTAATTCTACATTGCAGAACCTGTGGAAATACAGGGCAGTTTCTAGTGAATATACAAAGTATCTTTGCCTAATTTAAGAAAGCAAAATATATCAGAAGAGTTACTATCACTACCTCACAGAGTCTGTACAAATGGATCCCGGTTATCCATTTTACCATAATAAAAGGAAGGTTGTCCTCAGGTTCAAAAATATATCTGCTGTCCTGCACTGAAAAAATGACACTTCACAGTTAGTCATTGACTGAAGCAACAAGGCTTGGCAACAAGTTACAAGTTCATGCTACCAGTTGTAACAGTTGCTAAAGTATCATCTGATTATGAGATTGTTTCCTAATTTAAAATATTAAAACTACAAGATGAGCTGGTCTATTTATAAGAAAGAATATGAGCTTGTGAATCTCTTTGCTATTTATGTGAAAGTATAAGTGAATGAGGTATAAAGACTCACCCTTTGTCATTAGGATTTCAGTTGTACACTTATAACAAAAATCCCTAGCAATAGCTGACAATGACACATATTTGCAACATGGATGTGTATAAACTCTTTAGAAATGTGGCTACTAAAGCCCTTTAATTATCCATTGTTAAGAATAAAACAAAGCAAACTGAAAATACAGCAAGTTGTTCATCATGCTCCCACTGGCCTGCATAAAATCTTGGTGTAAAAAAAATAGCCTGCATCTGAGCTAGTGGGACTTAACTTTGAGGAAGCACGCTTAGGATTGCACCACAATCAGCCCAAGGAATTAAGTAACTCTCATTATCCCATTACACTCTTTTCACTGCTTCTCCAATCTAGTGTCCTTTAACAACAATGGAACTACTAAATTATTTAACAAATTTATTAGCAGCTTAACTCACACAAAGGTGACTCCAGGCAGCTTAAAAATTATTTAAAAATTCATCCCATAATAAAAACCCATAATCTCTTCCACCCCACCCCATGGCACCAACAACACAAACTAGCCACTTGATTAGCTCCATCTCCATTTGTGGTCCCCTAGACCCACATTTTAGTGCCTTTCAGAAAAGCAAAATGATGTCAGAATTGCTAGATAAAATGCATTCTAATGAATAATTCTGGGACTTGTAATCTCAATGCCTACTGGAAACTCTGGGTTAAAAAAGGTGGCCCTGTTGCATTATTTGCCCATTAACACATTTGACTCAGGCTGACCATCTTTCTCCTTTAATAGATGCGATCCTGATCTACCAAAAAAGGAGAGGCTTAGACTTGTTTATCTTTCTGCCCTCCCCCCCCCCCCATCAGTTGCTGAAACCAAACTCTCTGCCTCTGCTCTCCAATCTCTATCCCTTTTAAAAGCCTCATTTACTAAATCACTGCACGCCTGGAAAGAGAGTGACAAAATCTGTAGGTTACTTACCTTGACTCCAGGCTGAAGAGTAGAAGAAAGGAATAAAGCAAGCAAAGAGAATCTTTCTGCAGTTTTTTGCCTTCAGGACCTGAAGAAAAAATCCAGCTCAAAAACTTTAGCTGGCTAGAGCGCAGCACGTGCAGCAAATGGGGCAAAACCTGGGTCCTTGCAAAGTGCTTTGCAGTTTGTCTAACTGCCTTCAGAAGCCAACTAGGACTTCACTTTTAGATTCCTAGCTGGGTCTTAAAGGCAGTCAAGCAAACAGCAAAAAGCTTTTAAAGACATCCTAGCTAGATCCTAAAGGAACAGCCCCCCCCCCCAAAAGAAAGCCAACCCCTTTGCAAAAAGGCAGCTTCTGCCTCCCTACCTTTCAAACCCTATGTTTGAGTTTGCAGGGCATTCTAAGGGCCTCAAACTTTCTTTCCTTTTCTCTGTCACTGACTATGTGCCTAAGTTGGAACCTGACACCTCAGAGAAAACACTTTGACCTTGAGAGTTATGCACAATATTTTTTTTCTGTTTCAGGGCATTTTATCCATCCACAATCATTAAGAGCTGTCAAATCTGAGCTGAACATTTCAGGAACTTGCTGAACATTTAGGCTGAAAAACCACATGCATTCTATTTTTATTTTCATATTTTTCTTTGGACTGAAAAGATCAGGACAAGAATAGACAATGTTAATCTGAATTCAATTCATTTATTTTGACCTGAGAGGCCACAGGGATAAGATGGAAGTGGCATAATGGAAGGATTTTGGGATGGAATTTTCAGCCCAGGAATGGTGATAATAATAATAATGATTAAGTTTCTGGAAAGACTTTGTTTAGAATACCTAAATATTCTACCTATTCTCCTATCCTTTCATAAGACATGGCTCTGCCAATCGGCTTCAGGCCCCAGTGGGGGAACAGCACACTGGAGGTGGTTGGTCAAGTAACAACAGATCCCACCTCCCCCTACTCTCCCCATGTGTCCTTAGGTTTTAACATTGATTTTAATTATTTGCTTTTAGTTGCACATGTATAGATACATTTTTATGATTGTAAACTGCCCAAAGTTACCCTATGATAAGATGGGCAGACAATACATTTTATAAAAAAATATGTGAAGAAGAACAAAGAAATGAATGCCCAAATCCCCTCCAACAATAACATTAATGTCACAGAATTTCATCCAGGTGATCTTGGATTCTGGAGCATGCAGAATGGGATATGTAGGACCAAAGGTGGCCTGCAGCTTGCTCACATCCGGATTAGAATGACATATATTCTTCAAATAATTCTCCCATTCTCTATTAAAAAAGTGTTCAGTAAGGTAATATATTACCCATCGAGGGGGCAAGTCTTTGATGGCATAGTCATGATTCTTGCTACAGATTTGTCCCTGATTTTGTCAAATGTTTTGACTGTATATCATTTGAGTGGAAAGAAAATCTACAATATTTAAAAGTGCATTAGGAAATATATAGAAGGGACTGTCCAAGATTTTATAAAATGTTAGAGATTACTTCTTGCACTCTATTGCTTCTCTTCTTATTTGAGCATAGTAATGCCCTATGATTAGCATTTTCTCTATAAGGAAAGGGTGCTTAGCTTCCCATAGTATAAGATTATGGAAAAATAGGAAGGATGCTAATCAAAACAAAGGTTTCAGCAGTTAAATATTCTTTTTCCATAATACGTTTCCTCCAGTTCTAAAGATAAGAAAATCTTTAAAGAAAATCTTTAACCTAACAGAAGTCTAGATGATTTCCCCCAAATAATATGTAATACAGTATGCATAATGGGAGGACCATCATAAATTCATTGAGAATGATAATGGCAATTATTCAAATTTCTTTCAAACTTCTTTCAATATCCTTTAAAAGTATACATTTTCAATAACATGTCCATCATTTGTATATAGTTCAGTTTCAAACTCAGCCTTAACAATGCTTAAAATCAAAGATTTTTATGCTTACTTTAAATCTTTCTAGTAACTGTAAATTTAAAAAAATGACAAGTCTGTCCTTCTGCCATCAACTCTTCTCTTGATTTTATTTTACATTCTCTTTGACAATATGCCACAATAAGGTAAGCCATTTGGGTTTACTTATAATTTCTTTTCTATAATACTGGTACGTTTCTTGTGCTGAGAGTCAACAAAGGTATTTTTGGGCACATCCTGGATTTGTATCTATTTCATAATCTCAGAAAGGCACATGTAACACAATGGTTTTAAAAATCTGCATTGACCTTAACTTTGATGTACCACAAATATTTATGCCACCCAAATCTCAGATCATGCCCTAACTCTAAAAGCACCCACTCTTTTTCATCCCAACCAAACAGCAAGCTGCAAAATATCAATTTCAAATCAGGTAAACCCAACCCTCCTCCTTCCTTCTCATCTTGCAGCATATTTGACTCATATTTTTTCCCCTGCCACACAAATGTAGATAATCTTTCTGGCATTGTTTGAATGGCACATCAATTGTCAAAGCAGAAAAATAACATTCTAGGCAGAACAGAAATATACTGCGGCCATGGGAATAAAATTGTATGTTCAGATCTAGTCTTCTCGGGTCAGGAATCAGATCTAGCCAGATCAAGAACTCAGAGACAGCACTGCTGAAAAGGAGAGATTCCAGGTAGCTTTCACACAATCTGACATCCTGCATTATCTAAGCCATCTAAACTATTTAACCTGAAGTCTCTTATCTGATATGGAGGAGAGGATTGGTTCCGTTTTCCTTCACCAGTATTTCATTACAATCACCTCTTGCCATGAAAGGAAATGTTTCCATGAGCTTAGTTCTAAGATACTTATTGATTCTCTGAAATGAAACGTTTTATCTCCTTTCTTTGTTTTCCCAAAAAGATGCTGGGTTCCACGTGCCCCCCCCCCCTCCGCTCACAGCTATTAAAGGAAAATAAATCCCCTCTGGAGCAACTTTTTTCCATTTGTTCATGCAACATATACAATCTGTCTTTCAAACCTGAATCTTGGAGGGTTGGATCCTATACATGTGCAGATATATCATTGCAAATACATACTGATGATATAAAATGTCATTAGATATGAAAATATTCCAGAATTCTTTGTGGAAAAATTTTTGGTACATTACCAAGTTGAAACTTTAGTTACTAATTGTGGGTTCTATATGTACTATAAACTGAGCTGTTTTCCCATAAAGAAACTTGAGAAGCCTTTGGTGAAGAACCACATCTTCTAAAAACACTTCTCACAAAAATACATTTCCCAAAACTACTATTCCTGATACTAACAGAAGTTACAACCAAGATAAGCAAACTCCATTATGGTCATAACTCAAAGACTACTTATAGAGAATGAATGTGACACTACCTATCGATACAATACAATACAATACAATACATACAATATACAGTACAAATCTATAGCATGCACTTGTGCATAAGCAGAAGGGTCAAAATAATAGCCTCTAAAAGATCTTTTTTCTTGGCTGTTCTGCCAAAATTAGAAATTCCACTCAGGGATCATGACTTACTGAATAATCTGCTCTCCAATATTTTGTTTCATTCTTCTTTGAAGACATGTGCATTCAATAGTCCCCAATTCATCTTGGGGCAGGAAATTCTCCTGTATAATTTGTTCATCTGTCCTGACTCTCATTCACCCATTCCAAAAGGATCCACTGTATCATCACAACATATAACATGTCAAAATGTCATGCCTATGATTTCTGAGGAATTTTTCGAGCTTGTGACAGGAACTATGATTTGCATGACTTATAGCCAACCAAGATAAATAGGTACACTTTGATGGGAAAGTTACTGTATTCCATATTTTCATGCTGGCCACATGATGATGGAAGCGTCTCCCAGGCAGCACAGGCTCCCTTGGCTAAGAAATGGAGATAAGCACCACCCCTTTGAGTCGGTCATGACTGGACAGGAGAAACTTTTAAATCTTTATAACCAATGCAGGTCTCAGCTTTAGCATCTCTGCTTTAAGGATTTCCTGCATCTTTGCAATGTGGCCTTGCCTACCACATGCCCTGCAGATGGCAGAGCGGAAAAGCAGTCTGCGTGGCGATGGCGGCCTCCGCACCTGACACATCGAGGGGTTGATGATGCTGACTGGGCCTTTCCTCCTTGAGGCCTTCTCTCCAGAGTCTGATGCAGCCGGTCTACTTCCCATTCTGGATCCTGTTCGTAGTCTTCCTCCGCAACCACTTAATGGACGGTGACTGGAATTTGAGGGTGCTTGGCTAGCCGCAAGGCCTTCACAGCTCCACTGGCTGCTTCTTCGGCTGCAATTTCCCTCAAGGCATCTTGGAACAAGAGGTCTTCCTTCGTGAAGAGCTTCTGCTACAACTCACAACTTCGCAGGCCACAGACTAAATGATCTCTGAGCCTCTCTTCCACGTCCCTGAACTTGCAAGGCCTAGCTGCCTGTCGTAGGGCCGCAACAAATTCCGCAGCAGACTCACCAGGCCTCTGGTCCGTCTGCTCGAACACGTATCGCCAGGCAATCACTGAGAGCTTGGGTTTGAAGTGCTCTCGAAGCATCCTCTTCAATTCAGTGTAGGCGATTGATTCCAGTAGTGCTGGGGCGACCAGATTCTCAGCGATATCGAAAGTCTCTTGCCCACAGACACACAGCAACGTAGCAGCTTTGAGGCTATCTTCCCGGATCTGATTCACCCAAAAGTAGTTCTCTACCCGGGCCACATACGAACTCCAGCGTTCTGGATGCGCTGTGTCAAACTCCAATAGCCGGCCTATCTTAGACATCGTTGCAGTCCAGGAACTTCTTCCACGCCTCTTGCTGCAAGGGTTGAGAAGGGGTCCCCTCCGCCGAGCTCACCTCCAGCGTTTCTGTACTGGCAGGCCAAGTCGCAATTTTCGGATGCTGAATTTCTCCGAGCTTCAGGCCTCCCATGGTGAGTCAGCCTAGCTTCTTGTGTTGTTTCCCTTACAGGCAATCCCATCCTCGTCGCCAATGTTCTGTTTTCAAGGAAGAGGCATTGAGACGAAGCACGGGTTCAAACAAGTCCTCCTTTATTCCAAACAGCAACAGAACCGGTTACAAAATGGTGCGGTTACCTTTTATAGTCCCCTGCAAGGTACTTTGCTGGCCAATCGTTGCAAGGCTTTTTTCCCGCCTTGTGCATGTGCACAAGGCTGGAAACAGCCCCTCAGGTCCCGGGCATCCACGTGGTCTGCCTGGACCAATCGTTGCAGCCTGCGTCTGCAGGCCCAGGACATAACAGTTTCCTACCCCTGGGTTAGAGGGTTACCAAGCAACATTGGGTTTGGAGTACACCTATAGCCCAGACTGATATAAGGGAATTCCATAGGCCTGATCTGCTCCTTTCTGATACCAGACAGTTTTTCTGCATTAGCCATGTCGCAATTGAATAAAATGTACCTTCAGGTATTCTGTTTGGGCTACATGGCTACATCAATAAGAATTCCTCCAATCTGAGTTAGCAGTAAAATATGCTTGCCTGATCTTTAAGGCCAGCAATTTGTAGAGTACCGTGGCTTTGGTTCTTACCCAAGCAGTGTAAAGAATTAGCAGAAGAAAACAAGATACACTTGGGCAAATGTAGATGAATACTTCGGGCAGAGTCTTTAGCTATGTTTCAGGTTGCATGAGTGACAGTTCATTGGATTGGAGATACTTTGCAATAGTAACCTGTCACTTGGGATATTTCTGAACATGAGCATATCGGCCTTCTGAAAGAGGCTGAAAGATCAGGTGTGGAGGAAGGGGCTGGGATGAAGGAACAGTGATAGTCTAGTGGACAGTTTTACTAGTCATTTGATCACTTGCCTAGGAAGAGAAACTAACACATTTTTAATCAACCTCACCTCAGCTCTGAATACTGTCCTTCAAATCGATATATGTTGCAAGGGCATGGCATCAAAGGGCCACCTCTGAAAGCACCCAAAAGTCTCATAGCATATGCAAACTGGTGTAAGATTAGGCAAAAATCTATTGACCCTTTCTCAAAATAATAAAGGGGAGTTGCAGAAAATATCTGTGTTTCCCAATTAAAATTGACTAGACTTCCCTTCTTTTATACATAGGACTAAAAGTCTTTTAAAAGACTATTGAACATATCTTTTAAAAAAATTATAGTCACCTTCAGAAGACCAAATCAGACATTCGCATAAGATGCCCATGAAATGCTTAAATGGCATTATGTGGAGCACAGGTCAAACTTTATACAAATTGATACATTTGTAGAATAATGAGAGTTCTTTTTTCCTGTAGTCCAAGCCAAAAATGGAGGTAAGACATATTCCTACAACAGTCTCAATCAACCAAGAGGAGATTTTTTTTAAAGAAAAAGGTACATTATAATTCTTTTTAACTTTAAATACACAAAATACAAAGCATTTTAAAAACAACAATAAAGACAAATACTTCTCCAAATAGACAAGGCTGTGTTGATCTACCACAAATAGTATTTCTCCTTCCATTATTATTACTACAAGAACTTAGAGAACAAAATAAAGATCTTTTAAAATATGCCTGATGTATGATTCCAGACTATGATAAAACACAATTATTTTTGTACAGAAAACATATTGAACATAATCAGGCAAAGCAAAAGAAATTAGAATGTAATGCAGCTCTTGTGAAATATATTTACATATTTCTTTATCTCTTCAGTAAGTTGTAAAATGAATCTCAGCAAAATGTCCTCTGTTGCAGCCTCTTGGAGTAATTCCAGCTATTTATCAAAGTTGTTGGAGTGATAGTACATCCCACTTCTTTTTCTAGCTCAAGCACAATAATTTCTTGCTCTGTTTCCCAGAATGCACTTTCTTCTTTTAAAAGAACAAAGGTTTTTTTTTTCCTCTATAAGAAGAAGAAAAAGAAGAAGCGTGGAGGGGGGTAAATCCCCCAAGAATCTGTGCTGAAGCCTATGTGCTAAAGCCTATGCTTGAGAAAAAGTGTGTATTCATACTCAAAGGCTGCCTGGCATTTAGAATGGCAGGGGAGCTTCAGTACCATGATGCAGGCTGGCTGTTGACCACAATGGCATGTACTGTTTTCTTCTCTTTAGAAGATTTTCTAAGGCAAGAATAAATATGAACGGAGATAGAGATAAATGATGATAGAATAGATAGATAGATAGATAGATAGATAGATAGATAGATAGATAGATAGACAGACAGATAGATAGAATTACAAATGGAAGGGGGAATAATGCCAGAATACCACCTCTAAATTTAGAGTTCTTTATCAAAAAAATCATCAAAAAGGGTCATCCTTTCTGTCTTAGTTCTCACTAAGGCAGGCCTCCGATAAGGTTTCCTAAAGTTGTCATTGCAGTCGCTCCAGTTATTGGTGTCAATGCTTGAAGCATCTGAAGATGACTCCATTGTTGCTTGTTGCTTCAACAGCCATGTTTCCACTTTGTCCCTCTGGTCTAAATGGGATTTAGGTGACCCAGACTCTTTAAGAAATTCTCTGTGCCACAAATCTCCTGACAAAACAAGCAAAGGAGATTTCAACATTGTATAAACATACAAGAAGAACTGTGGTGTATAAGTCACAACCTTGGATCAGTGCCATTTGGTCTAGTTTAGTCCCAACCTAGAACTTCAGAAACGTTAATACATTGATACGATAGCTTTGGCCATACTGGCCCTAGATTATGGGAGGTGGGAACAAAATTCTCTGAAGGAGATCAGGTTGGCTCCATAGCAAATAAATAAAATGCTAGAGGTTGGTGCTTTGGCTTGGATTATGTCAGCCTATTTTTTTATTCTAAAATATTTTAGATTGGGCATCAGGAATCCTAGCAGACACATAAGTGCTCGACATCTGAAGTCTGAAATCACATTGCCCACCTCCGATATACTGCTCTTGTATATAATGAACTTTAGCTTTCTCCCAAAAGTGTCATTCTTCAGAGACAAAAGGGCACGCCTTTCCATCAATGTACAAGTGGCTGTTTTAGTCTTTTGTGGTAAAAATAACCAAGATTAATTTTTTAGCCTTTGAAGTATCACAAAATCCATTGTTGTCTCCTTATATGAAATGAGCACAATAAAAGAAAAGGCAGATTCTCATTTCCACTTGTGACTCATTTCCCCTTAGAAAGAGCTAATGGAGGGGGGGGGGGAATTCTACAATCAAGTGTTAATCCCAAGGCGTATCTCTAAAAATAATTACAGTTAGTGGGAGAAACTACTCTGGAACACATGCCTATAGCCATTCTTTGGGCATTTTTTGACCTAGTATTCTATACTAACACTTCATCACAGGTAGAAATGAATTCTGTGTAATTCCAGTTCAGAAGTAATGGTACTTGGAATGGAGTCTCTCCATTCCTAGAATTTCTAAAAGCTTATGGCATGGTACAAATTTTACCACATCCCTGATACTGTACCATACAAGTGGATAAGGACTTTAAATCAAATCAAGTATCATTACTACAGATGCATATAGTAAAAAAAAGAGAAATGGTTTGATGTAATAATTTGCTATTGGGAAGGAGAAGAAAAACAATAAGACAATAAAATGACATAACTAATTAAAAGTTTTGCACAATTGTATAACTTGGTGAAGGGATTTGGCCACTTGATATGCAAGTGTGGGATTATCATCCCTTAAAAAGCAATAAACCCAACATTTATCAATGTGGCCCTTGTACTTTATGTCATGTCTACCATACTGGAAATCAGCTAGCATGTAATCTGTAAGCCTAGTGCAAAATAGAAACAATGCCTCTATGGCTGTATCCTTGGAATGATTTCATCCCAGTTGGAACCTGTATTTCCTGTTCTAATTCTAGTTACAGGGGAGCTCATAGGCATCTCTTGTTCTGACATCGTCCTGCATCACATAGTGAGCAACTTTGATTACTTAGAATCAGTATCCTTGTTTCAGTCACAGTTGAATGATGTAATATTTAAGTATATTGGTCTACATCTATTGGCAGGTACTATAAAAAGATAGCAATAGCCCTTAGATTTATATACCACTTCATAATGCTTTACAGTCCTCTCTAAGTGATTTACAGAGTCAGTATATTGCCCCCAACAATCTGGGTCCTCATTTTATTGACCTTGGAAGGATAGAAGGCCAAGTCAATCTTGGTCAGGAATGAACTCCTGGCAATGAGCTGAGTTAGCCTGCAATACTGCATTCTAACTACTATGTCAAAATATAAATGGATTTACAGAGAGTTCGAAGAAGAAAACTATGAAACAAAGACGGTGCCAATGTAGAGATTAAAAGGTTAGGAATCACCTTAACCCTGTAGCAGTATCAGCAACATTGGCATGAAAATTTATTGCCTTGATGATACTTACCATGGCTTCCATTAAATGTTTGCTCATGCTCAGCAGAGTGTTGCTCTTCCTCATCAGAGCTTCGAGTTCCCTGCATATACTCAAGTGTGCCCAGCAAATGAAGATCCCTCATTTTTGGCCTATTAAGCCTAGCCTCCTGTTGCAGACGCCTTTTCAGTTCTGCCTGAATTAAATAATTCCTTATAAGTTGCAAATATACAACAGTCTCAAAACTGGCTTAACAGATATTCCTCTTTTGGAAAGAAACTGGAATTGTTTTCAAAAATGCCAGCAGAATTTTAATCACTTTAAAAAAAAAAGTTCTAGACTTCTGAGAATTCTTGGAGGAAAATCATGGCCAGTAACTTATTTATAAAAAAAATGGAAGAGGTTTGTATTGTTGATATATTCTTAAAAGTGTATCTCTTATCTTAAAATAAGAAAAAAGTTCTAAATTGCAGTTTCTTAAAAAAATAAAAGTTAATTGAGAAATACAGTTTTAATAGATATGTGCATTCAATTGCTTTATAAATGAACAAGTTTTATAAGATTAACATAATAACGTATGTTTAATATGCTTCCAGCTTAATAATTAAAAAGAGCAAACAACTACTGCTATACATACTCCAATAATACAAATTTCCACAAAGCACACATCATTAAATTGCTAGTCAGTGCATAAAACAGAGACTCCCTCAATTTATTCTATCATCCACTTTTCTCCTTAAACATTCCAATGGTATTCTACCAGTAATAAAATATCTCAGGTTTACCTCTTTTCTTATTTCAAGCATTTTCATTTGGAGTAAATACTGCCTTCTTCCAACAGGGTGCTTAGCAACTTGCTCTCCTCTCCCTAGTTCCTTCCAGGTTAACTGGAGGATTCAAAGACATAACAAAAATCTTTTAGGAAACAAAGCCAAGATTGCACAACTCTTTTGAGAACATCACCACCTTATCCAGTTTATAAACTACAGGTAAAAATCCAGATGACCACTAGGTGGCAGAAAACTAGTAGATAAATAATATTTATTGTCATTTTTTTAACTGTGGGCACACTGGCACACATTAAAAATAAAATACTGTTGCCTGCTCTCAAAGATGTACACATACATAACACACATAAACATGCTATATACAACATATGTGTCATGGTTCCGACAGATGAAAAACTCTTCAAAAGAACTTCAAGGCATTGTTTATCTTAAAGAATCTTTATTTTGAATAGCATAATATCTGCACTGCATAATTGAAGCCAAAAACTGAATTCCCCTCCCCTGAGCACATAGTATCAAAGCACAATTCCCTCCTCCAATCAAAAGTCATAAATCACATCCCCCAATTAGCTTGAAGCATGGGCTTCCTCTCCAGTTCTCCAGCCCCCCAATTCCTTATCAGTTCTGGTTACAATAACTTTGTTTCTCACTCTAGGTTTAGTGTTGTTATGTCTAGCTGGACTCTCGTTCACATCTCCCCCTCCCAGCATCATCTAACTCTACAAGCAAAAGGTAAAAGATGGCTACATTTTCATCTGTTGTTAATGCAAAAACATCCGATGTTAGCAGCGTTGACATCATGTATATACCTATATGTATATACCCTTACATATAAATATTAATCACTGTCCATCTTGAATACATAGCAGAAAGAGGAAGCTTGAGAGTATCATCTGGATTTTGGTAGTCAAAGACCAATGACACTGAAACAGTCTTCACCAGTCTTCTTTTAAGCTACTTAAATCACAGATTCTTTACCAACAGATGTAACCATAGAACTTTTGGGGAAGATACAGAGAAGGACTGGTGTTACATCAATCTGAACTTTTCTAAGGCATCCATAGGCAGGGTCAAAAATCTCAGGATGGCAACCATGATTACACCACTGTACATCCTCTTATGTGCATCCTAGGTACAGTAGTCATAAAAAGGGACAGGACTTGAACTGTGCTTTTGTAGCTGCCATCTTGACTTTTTTTTGACTTCCACCTATAAATACCCTACAATGGAATGTAGGAAGTGAACAAAGGGCAGTCTAATCAAACATTTGTCTTGTCTGCCCCAATACAATGTTTTCTTCCATTTAAATAATTCTGTATTTTCAATCCCGCACATTTGAAGGACAGTAAATTGGAGATAAGTACTCTAATCAATTTCACTTTGAGATTTCCTCTAACTGACTCTTCCTAGCTGATTTGACAGAGAATTCCCATTATCTCTGAGAATTTGCCACATGGTGATCAGATAGAAACTGTAAACTTAAACACCTGGAATGGCCCAAATTAGAATAAATTGCTTTAGAAGCAGAGTAACTTGACAGATTAGTTGCAAACTAACAACATGGAAATACTTGATTATTACATTGCTTATACTGTTTACAAATTGGAAGAGTGAAATACTAGCTCATCTGGATGTTATTACATTAGTAGCAATGTGCTGTGTTGACAAGGCAATTGCATTTTCTTAATGTGATAATCCTGCAGGCTAATTGGGACATAAATTCCATTTTCTAGTAAGGAAAGGTCACCAGTAGCAACTGGTAGCATTTTTTAGAGTCATCTAGCTACTCTTCAAAAAATAACTGTAGTAAGGGCAGGCTTTATATTACTTCAGCAATAGCTAGGTGATGCTATAGGTCACTAATGCATAAATGGCCTGTGTATCATGATTTTTTTAAAAAAAAATACAACTAAAGGTAAAAGTTTCACCTGTCCAGTTTAATCTGTCTCTAGGGGGTGATGCTTATCTCCATTTCTTAGCTGGGGGAGTCAGCATTGTCCAAAGACATTTCCATGGTCATGTGGCTATCATGGCTACATGCTGAGGCACATGTTACACTGTTTGATTCTCACCAAAGTGATACTTATCTACTCACATTTGCTTGTTTTTGAACTGCTAGTGGGCAGGAGCTGGGCAAATAAAAAGGAGCTCATCCCAACATGCATCGCTCAGGTCTTGAACCCGAGTTCTCATCTGATAAGCTCAGCATCTTTAACTGCTGAGCCATCACACCCCTTTAAAAATACAAGCACCAGACCTAACATGTTTGGTTTGCAAATATAAATGTAACTATATTTATCCCTACCTACTTACCTACCTAAATGAGATCACAAAATGGTTTTCTTTATATAGTGGAGGAAGAGGCAGAAAAAGGAGCAGATGGAAGCGGAGGCATACCTAACATTTTTTAAGAAGGTTGAATTTTAATTCCAAATTCATTTTCTTTATTTCATAAATCAATTCTTGTATGCCCAGTTTTCTTTCAATACTTACCTTTTCCTGCTGTGTCAGTGTCCCACCCTGCAAGTTCAGGTATTTGGATGCAGGGATGTTGTCTGCAAGTATAAATGGCTCCAATTTCTGCAAAGCCAAGAAAAGAGTAAGACAACACTCTGGAATTAGAGTGAGTTAACTTGATTCCTGTGGCAGAGTCTATTTAAATATGGCCCTGAAGAGCAAGCTTGCAGTCCATGAGATTTTCATACATTTCATACAATAGGGGTCAACCTATTCTCCAAACCACCTGAAGGCAGAACAAGAAGCAACAGGTAGAAACTAATCAAGGAGAGAAGCAACCTAGAACTAAAGAGAAATTTCCTGACAGTTAGAACAATTAATCCGTGGAACAACCTGCCTCCAGAAGTTGTGAATGCTCCAACACTGGAGATTTTAAAGAAGAGATTGGACAACCATTTGTCTGAAATGGAATAGGGTTTCCTGCCTGAGCAGGGGGTTGGACTAAAAGACCGCCAAGATCCCTTCTGACTCATTTTTTATTCTGTTCTTCTAATCTGGGGGCAGGCAAAGGTTGTGCTTTTTTCCTAATATGTATGTAGTGGCCTCAGAATTTTTTAAAAGTCGGAAACTCTTTTTTTGTACTTCCTGGAATGACCACACTATTTTGAACATGCCCAGTGAGGATGCAAGTGTACTGCTTCGTTGTTGTTTTAAAATTTACTTAGATTTATGTGTTTATCTCAGGAGGTTTTATGCTGCTTTGATCAAACAAGGTAGAGAGGCGATGCCTTCAGAATATCACTCAGGGTGTCCATGGGGTGGTGTCAAAAAAAGTAAACCACCATGTGATCAAAATTCTCCCCCTTTTTACCTGGCCTGATCTCATATTTCAGAAATGAAGTACCATCCTCAATATAAATCCTTCCCCAGAAAGTCTCATAAATCATAACTAGATAGATTTCATTCTCAAGGGCATTCTTTTTAATCTTGCAAAGTTTTACAAGTTTTATAACAATTTGTGACATTTTAACAAAGTTTCACGAGAACTTGGTGCCCACAGAGTAGGGATGGAGGCAGGGAGGTGGACGGTGAGCTGGTGACGTTAGCATAGTGAGCTTCACCCCTTTTCTCGATGCATCAAGATGTCTCATGTTTGATCAAGAGCTTGAAAGTGCAACAGTGTTTTGGCATTCTGAAACAGGAATTTTCAATGTTTCTGCCATCAGACAAGGATTGGCCAGGTATAACAAGGAATAGAAGATTCATAGCTCTTCCCATGTAGTTTGGTACTCATTGCCAGTTTAGCCTAGAATGGAATATAGGTAGTCCTTGACTTACATTTATTTAGTGACCTTTCAAAGTTACAACAGCATTAAAAAAGTGACTTAAGACTAGTCTTCTCACTTAACAACCATTATAGCATCCCGACGGTCATGTGATCAAAATTTGGGCACTTGGCACCTGGCAAGTATTTACGACAGTTGCGGTGTTGTGGGTTAATGTGATTGCCATTTCTAACCTTCCCAGCCAGCTTCCGACGAGCAAAGTCAATGGGGGAAGTGGGATTCACTTAACAACTATGTGATTCACTTAATTGCAGTGATTTGCTTAATGTCCATGACAAACAAGGTTGTAAAATTGGATGCGACTCCCTGAACAACTGCCTTGCTTAGCAACCAAAGTTGTGGTACCAATTGCAGTCCTAAATCAAGGGCTACCTACAGCTGGCCAGGCAGCCATTTCTCTTTGTAGGTATATTTCCCAACAACCTTTTGAAGGATTGCATGTTGAACCTCTATTTATTTACCCAAACTGCAAGATGTTCTACAGAAGAATAGCTGCATTCCCATAGATAAAAATTTATCTTTCACATTCCCTTCTACACTGAACAGATTTAAAGAAACAACAAATAAAAAAAATTGAAAGAAAAGTTATCGCATATTTATAAACATTGACTCAAATACATCCCACATTACTCAGTGGAATTTTTCTCAGTGGATCAACTTCTACCTTTTGTGTTTGTAAATAATAATTACTAATCAAGGTACAGTCACTAGGTGGCAGCCAATAACACTACAAAGCTTAAAGGTTTCCTTAAATGTTGCAAATGCTGTTGACTTGGAAAAGAGAGGAGGCCCAGAGGTGACAGTCTTTCTAGCTCAGTGTTTCTCAACCTTGACAATTTTAAGGCATGTGGACTTCAACTCCCAGAATTCCACAGCCAGCAACGCGGGCTGTGGAATTCTGGGAGTTGAAGTCCACATGCCTTAAAATTGTCAAGGTTGAGAAACACTGTTCTAGCTGATCAACATCATTATGCACTCGTGCAAAATTTAATATAGGAAAGTAATTTTAAATTGTTCAATTTAAAATAAAAACTGCTAAATGATAAAGTTAGGGAAGATTTCATGCAAGGAACATACAGCCTTTTGTTCACCTGAATAGACCCTATATCACCTAGGTCAGTGTTTCTCAACCTTGTCAATTTTAAGATATGTAGATTTCAACTCCCAGAATTCTCCAGCATTGCTGACTGGGGAATTTTGGGAATTATAGTCCACACATCTTAAAGTTGATAAGGTTGAGAAACACTAATCTAGATCCCATCCAAGTTTTCATTATATCTGACAGAGAAAGACACACACACACACACACACACAAATAGGGCATTCATAAACTTGTTTAATATTTTGGGCAACAACCACAATATTTCGGAATTTAAATAATCGAGAACCATTCTTGAGTGCTCCAAATATTTTATGATTTTAGAAGAAAGTATGGAACTGGGCTAAAAACAGCATTTAAAGAACCCTTCAAACCTGCAGTGATATTTCTCATTTCATCCTGTAACATAAGATGACCAGGTCTTCTGCTTGACCCAGGCTAGTTTAAATATTGTTAAAGGTCCAAGCCCATTTTATAGCTTACTTGAAAGAATTGTTGGTTCATTCATTTAGGCTTTGTGTTTCCCCTTTTGGAAAACAACGTGGGACTTATCTGGAAAGAAGAAATGGAGCCCTATAGACAAGTGAAATGAATAAAATATGAGGTCAGTGAATCCGCTGGGTGAAGACTTGGCAATAAAAATTACAGACTTCGATAGAATATACGCACTCTTAAGAAGGTAACACAGATCTCATTAGAGAAGGCTCCTTCAGCTTCCATTGAGATAATATCTTTCATTGGTGCATTTGAAGGTACTGTATGTTTCCTCTCCTTTTTGCCCAGTTGGCTAGTTTCCATTCAGAACTTTAGCATTTTTCCTGAAATTTGGAATGGAAGATTCCTCATGAAACACCTCTTGCAGGCTTTTTAATTTTACTCATTGCTGAAGCATTTGAATCCTGCAAAACTAGGCCACATGAATCAACAAGCTAGGAAGATGCATCCAACAGGATCTCATAAAGTATTTTCAACAAGAAGAGGGTGCTGGAGGGGATTGATGGAGAGTGGAGAAGGAGGCAGACCTTCAAAGAAATTTTAGCAAATTGAAGAACACTAACAAGAATTCCTTGGGGAATGGATTTTTCTCACTGGAATTTGCTGATGTGACTTGAAGAGAAAAGATGTCAGCAATTTAAATTCAGCCTCAGTGTGTAAAAGAAGGAACTAGGGATCAAAAGGCATCTTACCTGAAGCCTTCGAGGTGGATGTTGCTTGATGATGCTTCTTTCTCCTCCTCCTCCTCCTCCTCCTCCTCCTCCTCCTCCTCCTCCTCCTCCTCGCGTGTGGTCTAACAGATTTGGCCTGGGCACTTGAAAGAAAGGAAGCATTTTAAAAATCTGAGCTGATTCTGCAAAATTGGTGATTTACAATTTGTTTGTCATGGAAGACTGATTATTTGATATTTTTAAAATAAAGAATGGGGAACCCAATTCATATTTTTACCTTGCTTTTAGATTTTATTGATAGAAACAAGGAATGGTTGATACATATAACCAGCACTTCTCAACCTTGTCAACTTTAAGATGTGTGGACTTCAGTTCCCAGAATTCCCCAGAGAACAGTGATGAGGAATTCTGGAAGTTGAAGTCCACATATCTTAAAGTTGACAAGGTTGAGAAACACTGCATATAATATATTCCTTCTTATCAGTCCAAAGCTGATAAGAGCCCTTTTTTTGTGTAGACAAAGCAGAGGTTCATGACAGACACTGTCCAGAAAACTCACAAAATTGACACTTCAGCAGGATTAGTGTGAGAAAACGGCTGCAAAAGAATTACAAACTGCTTTTTACAGGAAATCACTTTTCCATTATAAACAACTTTTTAACTTTTTCATCAAACCCAGATGTTTATGCAAGAGCTTGTGGCATAAGACAATACAGGATCTGTTGCTAGATAACCTGAATGCATTTGTATTCTCTGTAGTCTTTCAACTTGTGAGAAGTGATTCCACTTAAAGTAGAAGTACATTTCCTTTCATCTTTAAAAGAGAATAATCTACTGCTAGATTATCCAGAAGAGGAGGAGGAAATATCCAGACAGAATCACATTATTATTATCTTTGGGGAACAGATGATCTTTTTATGGTATAAGTATGAAATGTGAAATAAAGACAAAAAACAAAAACAACAGCATGACAAAGTACCAACAATAGTGCATCGGCATATCTATGAGAAATATCACTTATCTGCATGCCAGAACTGGTGGAACATAGAAAAGACAAAGTAATAGAAATTTAAAAAGCTAATGTGCTCTTAGACTTTAAATTTCATACACATCCCAGAATTAACAACTGTCAATAAGAAAAAGAAAAAAAGTCTTGGTAGTGGATTTGGCAGTACCTGGAGACAGCAGAAGAGAAAAGAAAGAACTGGAGAAGATAACAAAATACAAAGACCTGCAAATAGAAGTAGAATGACTGTGGTAAAAGACAGGAAATGTAGTACAAATAGTAATCGGCGCCTTGTGTACAATGCCAGAACATCTGGAGCATCACTTGGAACATCCTCAGCATTGACAAAATTACCATCAGTCAATTGCCAAATGCAGATTTACCTGGAATAGTTTACAACTTGCAATGATAGTTTCAAAATTAATAAATTATTATTAAAATTATTAATAATAAACATTCAAGAAATATAAAGCAACTGGTAGCTCTGTCAGATTCCTTGAATGCTATCTAGCATAGAAAGGAAAGTTAGAAATCACATCAGATCAACCAACCAACCAACCAACCAATCAAGATTTTTTCTTCAGTCTGATCCACAAGCCAGCCAGATGGGCCACAACTCCAACTGGTACAGCCTTTTATTTCCATAACAGACAAGCAGAAGTCAAAACCACAAAGAAAGCATAAAATGGTCCATTCCTTGTTTTTGAAATTTCTCCTCTTTTAAGAATTGGTCTTTCACCTTGAAAAGGGAAGTTCTACCACTCAACTTCTCATTAAACTCTGGAAATATTTCCTCAGCACCTCGTTTCAAGAGACTTTTAAGACCTTATTTCAGAGCAGTGATAGGTGATGTCACAATGCATCCACAAAACCTTCTTCCTGACCCATTTAATCTTTTTTGCTGCCTGGGGAATTCTGGGAAGTGAAGTCCGCATTGCCAAGTTCGAAAAACACTGGTTTAAGTTCATTCATTTTGTGTTTCTAATTAGTCTCTTTATTATTTTCCTAAAAACTGTACTTCAAATGTCTGAATTTGTCTTGCTGTGTAATATGTCTGTTTAAGGGACACGTTCCTGCTTGAATTTAATCAAATTTCTGTTATGAATATCTACTGTCAGTTTTGCCATTACTGCATATTCTCTTATTTTTAGTTTCAATAATTTTTAAAAGGACAAACTGCCTGCCAGTTAGCTTTTTAAGTTTTTTTTCCATTGCAGCCATTTGTTTTTCAAATGATATTAAATATTAATACCATTCACTATGGAAAACCATTATATGTGGGTAGTGATGGCAAAATTCAGCTCCAAAGATTATTTTTAAAAATAGTTATGGTATATTGTTATTGATAATTAAATTATTACATTTGAATAATTTTTATTTGTGAATTTCATAAAGGGAAACACACTAAATTAAATAACACTAAGAAGAAAGTGGCTAGTCCTCATGTTTGTTAAAATAAATAAGACTTTGTTTAAAAGGCATCTGTCCCAGATCAGGCAAAATCTGCTAATAGCCAAATAATTTGGTGTTAAGTATAGAAGGTAAAATTATTTATCTTGTATTTGTATGCAAATATACTTCCCAAAGTATGTAATCCTGTTTCAAGAATTTTATCATATACAATCATAGAAATGGGCATAGAAATGGAATATATTAGGGGAAAGTAACTGTTAGAAAAAAGATTGGACAAGTATACGTGTTCCTATGTTTACTGTTTATTTACAAACATTTATTTATTTATTTACAAACAAAAATTTACAAACGCTGTCTATTCTCACAATTCTAGGTTGCATATAGATTTAATGCATGTGATGGAGTGGCACTCTGGGAATAGTAAGACAGATGTGAGCAGTAGCAGATAGAGGTAAAGTGGAAAGCTAAAGATAGAAAACATCTCACGTGCAAATTCCTTCCTCTGGAGACAAAAGTTATGTCTGTGCACTAGTTCTGCAGAAAATATCTAGAGTGCATTGAATTGATCACTGCATGGAGAAGAAGAAAAGCACAACTGAACTGCTGTCAGCCTTTCTCAACTTTTTAGAGATAGAGAGTTCCGTGCACAGAATTTCTTTGCAAATGTGTGAATTCTAGGAATCAAATTTCATACATCTGGACCAGTGTTTCTCAACTTCAGCAACTTGAAGATGTGTGAACTTCAACTTGCAGAGTACCCCAGCTAGCATCCTGGCTAGGGAACTCTGGGAGTTGTAGTCCATACATCTCAAAATTGCTGAGCTTGAGAAACGCAGATCAAGAGGGTACCTCAGTTAGAGGATACTGATTATCCAACCAAGAAACAAGATCATATATGTAATAGAATACATCAGATAAGCAGGCTTAAGTAAAGACTCACCAAAGATTTGCTGGTACCAATTTGCCATACTTGGTGAAGAAGCTGTCTATCTCATGATAGGATTTCCATCCCTGAATGACTTATCAATCTCCATCTCCATGCAAAGAGTCTTTATTACGCTTGCATTTGGTTTGAAGCATTTTGATAATCCTCAATTTATCCAACACCGGAAGTTTTTAAGAAGAGACTGGACAGCCATTTGTCTGAAATAGTGTAGGGTTCCTGCCTGAGAAGGGGGTTGGACTTGATGACCTCCAAGATCCCTTCCAACATTATTATTATTATTATTATTATTATTATTATTATTACTACTACTACTACTACTACTACTACTACTACTACTACTACTACAAGTGAGATCAGAATTTCCATTGCTAAGCAAAGCGGTTGTTAAGTGAATCACACCTGATCTTACAGACTTTTTTTTTGCAACAGTTGTTAAGCAAATCACTGCACTTGAATCTGATTTTCCCCATTAGCTAGCCATTGGAAGCTGGCTGGGAAAGTCCCAGATGGTTACCATATGATCCCGGAACACTGTAAATACATGCTGGAATTTCAATCATGTGACCTGAATTTTGATCATGTGATCATGGGTAATGTGAGGACCAGCCTAAGTCACTTTTTAAAATTTTTTTGATATAACTTTGAACACCTGCAAAATGAATTATTGTACTTTAAGGATTAGCTGTATATGCTAATGCTAGCTGGAACAAAGAAGGTAAAAAGTAACACTACAATCCAAACTTATTCAAACTTTTCAATTCCTACTTTCAATTCCAAATGTATCACATCACATTTTAGATATGGGGGAGGAGAGGAAAAAAGATAAAGAGGGCCTTAAAGTTAGTGAATTTTTTTTAAGATGTCGACCATGTTCTATTTTTAAAAGATAAAAGAAAATATGAGGTTACCTGTGGGATATCTTCCATAGCATGTCTCTCGCAAAGGTGGAAGTTGTCTTTCCAGAACTGGGTTTCTCCCTGATGAAGAAACAAATGAGCTTGGCAGGGACTGGAACGAATAAACTGTCACACTACCAGGTTGTTTTGGTTCTCTTTCTTCACATGGCATTGGTGTCACTTTGGTGACCTTCCTATGGGTCTTGGATGAATTCAAGCCCATGTTTCAGAGTTCAGGTGAGCTGCTTTCCACCACAAGAGAAAGAAGGAAGGAAGATGAAGCCCAGTCTTGGAGTTATTAAACTTAAAAGATGAAGCCCAGTCTTGGAGTTATTAAAGTTATTAAAGAAAGAGAGAGAGACAGACACCTCATTCCCAGTCTCAAAAATAATACAATGCACTCCTCATTATGGGGTAGCACTGAGAAAGACCAACCTCAAAGCTGGAGAACATTTTGTTATGCAGGCATCAGTTCTCAAGGGCTTTGCTTTAAATCAGGAGAAAGATAAAGCACAAAATGAAGTTCAAGGTATTTCTTTGGAAGACAGATGCATAGAAGAGGAGAAACCAGCTTTGGTATTCTGTCTTGTTGATTTATTTAGTAGCTTCTTGAGATGAATCTGGATTCCCGACATAACTATAATATAGTTCTCCAAGGGCATTTTTCTTTCAGAATATACCCATAAGCGTGTGCGCATGTGCCAAAACACACATTTATCAAGAGCCAAAGGCCATGTGTTGCTATGGAAACTCCTTCATAAACTTTTCCCATTACCACACTTGGTGAGTCCAGTTAAACATTGACTTGGTCTGGGACCTTCAAAGGAAAGAATGGGTATCTGGCTTACTCAACCTGAATATTAAATTAGCCCCAAGCGTTCCAGGAATCCAGGGTAAAAAAATTACAGAACAGGAATTTGAGAACATACCCTTCTTTCTTTTCACCAAGGAATATTTAATCCCAAACAGTCTGATACAGTGGTTACTTCTACCACGCCCCTTCTACCTGGAATGCTGTAATTAGTTTCCACACTTTAAAAATGAGATATCCAAATAGTACATACATAGTATACCTTGGAAACAGGCTTTCTTGGATAAGACTTTAGAAGTACGGTCTTACTCAAAAGGAGAGTTGCTTTATAGATGCTCTGATGTGGTGTTTCTCTATCCTTAGCAACTTTAAAATCTATGAATGTTAAATCCTAGAATTCCCCAGCCAACATTTCCAGTTACACCTTCTAATGCTGGCTGAAGAATTCTGAGAGCTAAAGTCCAACCATCTTAAAGTTGCCAAGGTTGAGAAACATTGTGATTAGAATTGGGAACTTTCAAGAATTTTGTTTCAGATTCTAATAGCTAACACAAAATATGTCAAGGTCTTACATGCTTCATTGACTATATTTATTCATTATCAAATTTTAAAAGCACCCATGTCCCTCACTTCTTTCTACATTGCTAGGCCTCTTCCTCTTGATGGTCTGGTTCACTTGTCAACCTTGGATCTTTATACTGCTTGATGGTTCACTTCTCCCTTGACTACTGGAGTGCCCTTTGATCATGCTGACCATGAATTGGGAATGTGTGCCTCCTGATCTAGCTTACTGTTTCAATAGAAGACAGTATCTGTAGCTCAAGACTGAACAGTGAAATCCTTGGTGTTCTCTGAGTTTGGCTGTTTACTTGCAGATGTTTCATTACATAATTAGATAACATCATCAGAGCTGGGGGAGGTGGGGTTTTGCTCCCTGTTTATATAGCTTGCTGATGCCTGACTGTTTCTGCTGCTTTGTAAACTCAGTGTTCTTGAAGCAGGAAAGGTGCATCGCCATTTCAGCCACTCAGGAACTCTGGCAGGAAAATCATGGCACTACTGCCTTAACAGAGGTGTCTTGGGCAATTAGAGCTGTAATCCCCATGTTACAGGATACTAACAGCACTCCTTGCTGAGCTCAAAATTCTTTTGATTCTAGTGAAACTAAAAACCAAATCCTATGAGTTAGAAATCTGTCTGGGACGATGCACTTCAGCTGCAGGACATTTGAAGCGCCTTGCTGTTTCAAGCCAAAGTCCACTAGTTCTGGGTCTTGTGCCAGCTTTCCACCAGGTGTTAAATGATCTGCAAAGTTTGCCAAGTCTCATAGAGTCTTGATGTTCTTACTTTGTTCCCAAAACATGAAAAATCACAGCTGAAAATCATTGGTTGCCACTGAAATTAATTGGTATAATCTGGGTTTGTTCTGGGGGCTGCAAAAATAGAATTGTGGAGCATTTGTGACCCCAAGTTACCCAACTTTCATGTTGGCTAAAATTAAATTGAAGAAGCCATTTATCTTTCAAAAACGTGGGCCAGAACACATCATTCTTTGCTTTTCCCCAGGGCTAAACAAAAAATAAAATAGGTAGTACATCCCAAGTCTTGCATTAGATTGAGAACAGGTATCCTTTTTCAGTTGGGAACATCTTTTGAATTATGAGCAAATGTGATGGGTCCATTCGCAAAGAACCTGCCTTGATGAATTATTTATTAAATATGAATGAACTCCAAATATCTATTAACCCAAAGAATCTTTGTGAAGTCTGTGGCATTCCTAAAGAAGAGGTACTCATGTTTAATGCATAGTTTTACATATGCCAGTTTTCTCTTTAAGTAATTTTTTATTCTTAAGGAATCATAGAATCATAGGGCTGGAAAGGACCTTGGAGGTCTTCTAGTCCAAATCCCCCTGCCCAAAAATGGGACCGTTTATACCATCCCAGACAAATGTGTTGAAAGAAAAGTCTTCATCATGATTCATCCAAGCCAGGGATAAACAACATGGCGACTGCTTTAGAAAGAAGGTTGCAGTTAATTGAAGAGGAGAGCCAGCAAGATGGTTCTGGCAGGAAAGAGGAGAGAAAAAGGGCTGAGCACATGTGGGTAGTAGGTTTTTATACCCTCTCCAAGCCTTTTGTTTGAAGTAGTTTCCTGTTCCTGTTTCAGGCTTTGTATTTCCTGTGTCACGTATTCTGACCTGAGTCTGGATGTGCCTTTCTTTTAAGATAAGATAAGATAACCTTTATTGTCATTTTTATACTGTGGGCACAATGGCACACATCAAAAATGAAATTAGGTGCCCGCTCACAAAGTGAAACACATATATGACACACACCTAAACATACTATGAACAACATATGTATAGACCCACATCCCTACATATACGTAGCAAATAAATATTAAATATTGTCCATCTTGAATATATAACGGAAGGAGAATCATAGGGTTATGAGAGGGTTATATCCTGCTTCCCTGGTGCTAATGACTCCTAGAGTTTGGGTGGGGTATGCAGATTTTAGGTGTCTTTGTCTTCCTAAGCTTCTAGCTCCAACTTTCCTGATGGTTTGTGTTGAGTCCGTCGCGAAATGGTAAGACACGAGAAACAGTTGTAGTTCTCAGGAAACCTTTATTCTTCAGTTCAGCTTACACTGGAATATGGCGGCAAAAGCCCACACCTCGCAGCCTCCTTTTATAGGGCTTTCCCGGGTCAATGTGTTACTTTTCGCACGCCAGCATTTGCGCATGCGCACAAGTACTGGCGACAGCCTGTCTGGTCCCGGGCAGCTTGCACCTGCCCGGGACCGCCTGCAACACCCCGAGCCCGCTTGCAAGGCTCAGGACATAACACCCCTTTCCCCTGGGCTAAAACTACGACCAAATGCCAAATAATACACAACCCTCTCTTAGTACTATGCTCTGCTCCCCTCCATGTTCGGAGTTCCCCCGTTTTCATTGCCTCAGTGTTTCTACCCTTCTACTGGCTCTGTTTAGCCAATAGCGTTATGTAATCCTCTAAGTACTTAGGAGATTTCCTTGCTCTCTGTGACCTCCTAAGCTCTGGGTTCTTGCTAGGTACTCCCTGACTGAGGGGTGACGTGTGCCTGTTCCCTCCATTATGCCTTGGTGATTCCCAAGGACTGTGCTCCAATGCCTGGCCTGCTTGCTTGCCCACCGGGCTCGTCAGGCCAGGGCTTCTTCCAGTGTATGACCTGGTTGTCCCACCTAGCTGTAGGCTCTCTGGCCCTTCTAAGTGACTGTCACTGTTGGGCGTTTCTGTAGAACCTCCTAGGTCCATCCAAGACCTGTCAGGAGGCTGTCTATTCCCTGAATCCCGTTCTGTGTCCGGGCTTGTGTGGGTTTCAGTACTGTCCCAAAACTCAGTTGTCCCCTGAGTGTAGTCAGAGGTGTTGTAGTCGGGATTTGGTTCCTCGACCACCTCCCTGTGTGTTTGCCCCCTTCTAGGGACAGGGTTGAAGTCAGGCCAACTGGAAGGAGTGTGTGCCAGCTCTCTTGCAGGGAATGGATTGTTGGGATGCTCCCGGGTCTTCTCTCTGACTGGAGTACTGAGTGATACTGGTGAAAAGTGATCATGCCCCCGGGGTGACTCCCTGGCTGGAGTAGGCGTGAATGCCTGATAACTGGTTAAGCTCCTAGAATTCCTGTTTGGAGCACTCGCGGAATTTTGGGATGGACCGTTTGTGGCTCCCTCATTGGTAAGGGGCAGCATTCCATGCCCCTCCCTTTGCCCAAAGGGCTCCCCCTCGCCCCCTGGAAAAGACCCAGGAGTCTCAGCGGGAAGGTCCCGTCTAGGGCGAAGTTGGTCAATGTGCTGACGCAGGACACAACCATTGTCCAGGGATACCTCATAGGATAGAGGACCTGTGACCCTGGATATAGAAGCGGGGACCCATGTATGACCAGGCCCGTAATTACGAGTCCAAACCGGGGCACCCACAAGTAGTTGCCTAGGTGCCCTGGGGTGTGAGACAGAAGGAGGCAGTCTATCCGGATGCAACCGGTCAAGCTTGGTAGTCAGTTTGCGCCCCCAACGAAGTTCAGCTGGGCTCCTCCCTGTAGAAGTGGACGGTGTGGTGCGATAAGAAAGGAGGAAGTCAGCCAACCTGTGATGCCAGTCCCCGTAGGTGAGCCTCTTCAAGGCGTCCTTGGTGATGCGAACCATGCGTTCAGCCATACCGTTGGTGGATGGGTGGAAGGGTGCAGAAGTGGCATGACGAATCATGTTAGCCTGCAAGAAAGCTTGGAATTCGGAGGAAGTGAATTGAGGGCCGTTGTCAGACACAATGACGTCTGGGAGCCCGTGTGCAGCAAAAATCCCCCTCAGTACCTGAATAGTCTTTGCAGTGGTGGTGGAAGAGACAGGTACAACCTCAAGCCATTTTGAATGGCTGTCAACGAGGACCAAGAAGAATTGACCCTGAAAGGGCCCAGCATAGTCAATGTGCACCCTAGACCATGGAGACTGTGTTTCCTCCCATCTATGCACAGCAGCTTGGGGCATTTCAGGGCGTGAGCGTTGACAAAGGTGGCAAGCATGCACCTTAGCTTCTATGTCTTTGTCTACCCCTGGCCAGCACAAGTGGCTGCGTGCAAGAGCCTTCATACGAACAATGCTAGGATGACCCTCGTGGAGGGAATCTAAGACCCTAGTCCTCATTGAGGTGGGAATGACAACCCTGCTTCCCCAAAGCAGACAACCGTGAGAGGTGGACAACTCGTTCCTTTTAGACCAGAAACTCTGAAACTCAGGACTAGGACAGTGCTCAGGCCATCCAGACAAAACCCAAGAAAGGACACGTGAAAGTGTGTGATCTGTGCCTGATTCAGCG